AGGGGATAAGGATTTGGGAGGGTATTGGAAGGCCCATATCCTAGAGTTCTTGGATGGTATATGTCAGGGGGATAAGGATTTGGGAGGGTATTGGGAGGCCCATATCCTGGGTTTCTTGGATGATGAATGTCAGCAGGATAAGGATTTGGGAGGGACATTGGGAGGCCCATATCCTGGATTTCTTGGATGATGAATGTCAGGGGATAGGGTATTTGGGAGGAGTGGAAGGCCCATATCCTGGGTTTCTTGGATGATGAATGTCAGGGGGATAAGGATTTGGGAGGGTATTGGGAGGCCCATATCCTGGGTTTCTTGGATGATGAATGTCAGGGGATAAGGATTTGGGAGGACATTGGGAGGCCCATATCCTGGGTTTCTTGGATGATGAATGTCAGGGGGATAGGGTATTGGGAGGCCCATATCCTGGGTTTCTTGGATGATGAATGTCAGGGGGATAATGGTTTGGGAGGGTATTGGGAGCCCCATATCCTGGGTTTCTTGGATGATGAATGTCAGGGGATAAGGATTTGGGAGGGTATTGGGAGGCCCATATCCTGGGTTTCTTGGATGATGAATGTCAGCAGGATAAGGATTTGGGAGGACATTGGGAGGCCCATATCCTGGGTTCCTTGGATGATGAATGACAGGGGATAAGGATTTGGGAGGGTATTGGGAGGCCCATATCCTGGATTTCTTGGATGATGAATGTCAGGGGGATAAGGATTTGGGAGGGTATTGGGAGGCCCATATCCTGGGTTTCTTGGATGATGAATGTCAGAGGGATAAGGATTTGGGAGGACATTGGGAGGCCCATATCCTGGATTTCCTGGATGATGAATGTCAGGGGGATAAGGATTTGGGAGGGTATTGGGAGGCCCATATCCTGGGTTTCTTGGATGATGAATGTCAGGGGGATAAGGATTTGGGAGGGTATTGGGAGGCCCATATCCTGGATTTCTTGGATGATGAATGTCAGGTGGAAAAGGATTTGGGAGGGTATTGGAAGGCCCATATCCTAGAGTTCTTGGATGGTATATGTCAGGGGGATAAGGATTTGGGAGGGTATTGGGAGCCCCATATCCTGGGTTTCTTGGATGATGAATGTCAGGGGATAAGGAATTGGGAGGGTATTGGGAGGCCCATATCCTGGGTTTCTTGGATGATGAATGTCAGGGGGATAGGGTATTGGGAGGCCCATATCCTGGGTTTCTTGGATGATGAATGTCAGGGGGATAAGGATTTGGGAGGGTATTGGGAGCCCCATATCCTGGGTTTCTTGGATGATGAATGTCAGCAGGATAAGGATTTGGGAGGACATTGGGAGGCCCATATCCTGGGTTCCTTGGATGATGAATGACAGGGGATAAGGACTTGGGAGGGTATTGGGAGGCCCATGTCCTGGATTTCTTTGATGATGTATGTAAGGGGATAAGGATTTGGGAGGGTATTGGGAGGCCCATATCCTTAGTTTCTTGGATGATGAATGTCAGAGGGATAAGGATTTGGGAGGACATTGGGAGGCCCATATCCTGGGTTTCTTGGATGATGAATGTCAGGGGGATAAGGATTTGGGAGGACACTGGGAGGCCCATATCCTGGGTTTCTTGGATGGTGAATGTCAGGGGGATAAGGATTTGGGAGGACACTGGGAGGCCCATATCCTGGATTTCTTGGATGATGAATGTCAGGTGGATAAGGATTTGGGAGGGTAGTGGAAGGCCCATATCCTGGGTTTCCTGGATGATGAATGTTAGGGGGGAGAAGGATTTGGGAGGCCCATATCCTGGATTTCTTGGATGGTATATGTCAGGGGGATAAGGATTTGGGAGGGTATTGGGAGGCCCATATCCTGGGTTTCTTGGATGATGAATGTCAGGGGATAAGGATTTGGGAGGGTATTGGGAGGCCCATATCCTGGATTTCTTGGATGATGAATGTCAGGGATAAGAAATTGGGAGGGTATTGGGAGGCCCATATCCTGGGTTTCTTGGATGATGAATGTCAGGGGATAAGGATTTGGGAGGGACATTGGGAGGCCCATATCCTGGTTTCTTGGATGATGAATGTCAGGGGATAAGGAATTGGAGGGTATTGGGAGGCCCATATCCTGGGTTTCTTGGATGATGAATGTCAGGGGATAAGGAATTGGGAGGGTATTGGGAGGCCCATATCCTGGGTTTCTTGGATGATGAATGTCAGGGGGATAAGGAATTGGGAGGGTATTGGGAGGCCCATATCCTGGGTTTCTTGGATGATGAATGTCAGGGGGATAAGGATTTGGGAGGGTATTGGGAGGCCCATATCCTGGGTTTCTTGGATGATGAATGTCAGGGGATAAGGATTTGGGAGGGTATTGGGAGGCCCATATCCTGGATTTCTTGGATGATGAATGTCAGGGGGATAAGGATTTGGGAGGGTATTGGGAGGCCCATATCCTGGGTTTCTTGGATGATGAATGTCAGGGGGATAAGGATTTGGGAGGGTATTGGGAGGCCCATATCCTGGTTTTCTGGATGATGAATGTCAGGGGATAAGGAATTGGGAGGGTATTGGGAGGCCCATATCCTGGGTTTCTTGGATGATGAATGTCAGGGGATAAGGATTTGGGAGGGTATTGGGAGGCCCATATCCTGGGTTTCTTGGATGATGAATGTCAGGGGATAAGGATTTGGGAGGGTATTGGGAGGCCCATATCCTGGGTTTCTTGGATGATGAATGTCAGGGGGATAAGGATTTGGGAGGGTATTGGGAGGCCCATATCCTGGGTTTCTTGGATGATGAATGTCAGGGATAAGGATTTGGGAGGGTATTGGGAGGCCCATATCCTGGGAGTTCTTGGATGGTGAATGTCAGGGGATAAGGATTTGGGAGGGTATTGGGAGGCCCATATCCTGGGTTTCTTGGATGATGAATGTCAGGATAAGGATTTGGGAGGGTATTGGGAGGCCCATATCCTGGGTTTCTTGGATGATGAATGTCAGGGGGATAAGGATTTGGGAGGGTATTGGGAGGCCCATATCCTGGGTTTCTTGGATGATGAATGTCAGGGGATAAGGATTTGGGAGGGTATTGGGAGGCCCATATCCTGGGTTTCTTGGATGATGAATGTCAGGGGGATAAGGAATTGGGAGGGTATTGGGAGGCCCATATCCTGGGTTTCTTGGATGATGAATGTCAGGGGATAAGGAATTGGGAGGGTATTGGGAGGCCCATATCCTGGGTTTCTTGGATGATGATGAATGTCAAGGATTTGGGGGTATTGGGAGGCCCATATCCTGGGTTTCTTGGATGATGAATGTCAGGGGGATAAGGGTTTGGGAGGGTATTGGGAGGCCCATATCCTGGGTTTCTTGGATGATGAATGTCAGGGGATAAGGAATTGGGAGGGTATTGGGAGGCCCATATCCTGGGTTTCTTGGATGATGAATGTCAGGGGATAAGGATTTGGGAGGACATTGGGAGGCCCATATCCTGGGTTTCTTGGATGATGAATGTCAGGGGATAAGGATTTGGGAGGACATTGGGAGGCCCATATCCTGGGTTTCTTGGATGATGAATGTCAGGGGATAAGGATTTGGGAGGGTAGTGGAAGGCCCATATCCTGGGTTTCTTGGATGATGAATGTTAGGGGGATAAGGATATTGGGAGGGTATTGGGAGGCCCATATCCTATCCTGGGTTTCTTGGATGATGAATGTCAGGGGATAAGGATTTGGGAGGGTATTGGGAGGCCCATATCCTGGGTTTCTTGGATGATGAATGTCAGGGGATAAGGATTTGGGAGGGTATTGGGAGGCCCATATCCTGGGTTTCTTGGATGATGAATGTCAGGGGATAAGGAATTGGGAGGGTATTGGGAGGCCCATATCCTGGGTTTCTTGGATGATGAATGTCAGGGGATAAGGATTTGGGAGGGTATTGGGAGGCCCATATCCTGGATTTCTTGGATGATGAATGTCAGGGGATAAGGATTTGGGAGGGTATTGGGAGGCCCATATCCTGGGTTTCTTGGATGATGAATGTCAGGGGATAAGGATTTGGGAGGGTATTGGGAGGCCCATATCCTGGGTTTCTTGGATGATGAATGTCAGGGGATAATGGTTTGGGAGGGTATTGGGAGCCCCATATCCTGGGTTTCTTGGATGATGAATGTCAGGGGATAAGGAATTGGGAGGGTATTGGGAGGCCCATATCCTGGGTTTCTTGGATGATGAATGTCAGCAGGATAAGGATTTGGGAGGACATTGGGAGGCCCATATCCTGGGTTCCTTGGATGATGAATGACAGGGGATAAGGATTTGGGAGGACATTGGGAGGCCCATATCCTGGAGTTCTTGGATGATGAATGTCAGGGGGATAAGGATTTGGGAGGGTAGTGGAAGGCCCATATCCCGGGTTTCATGGATGATGAATGTTAGGGGGGATAAGGATTTGGGAGGGTATTGGGAGGCCCATATCCTGGGTTTCTTGGATGATGAATGTCAGGGGGATAAGGATTTGGGAGGGTATTGGGAGGCCCATATCCTGGGTTTCTTGGATGATGAATGTCAGGGGGATAAGGATTTGGGAGGGTATTGGGAGGCCCATATCCTGGGTTTCTTGGATGATGAATGTCAGGGGATAAGGAATTGGGAGGGTATTGGGAGGCCCATATCCTGGGTTTCTTGGATGATGAATGTCAGGGGGATAAGGATTTGGGAGGGTATTGGGAGGCCCATATCCTGGGTTTCTTGGATGATAAATGTCAGGGATAAGGATTTGGGAGGGTATTGGAAGGCCCATATCCTGAGTTTCTTGGATGATGAATGTTAGGGGGATAAGGATTTGGTGGATTGGGATACGGACCTTTGGGGGCACTCATACTGGAAGGATAGGAGCCAAAACCAGCTCTCACAGGTCCACAATATTGGTTTCCTGGACTTCCTCCACTGCCAGGAGGATATCTATATGGGTCTTGTGGCAGATGCATACACAGAGGGGGACAACCATAACCATAGTTACCATACTGAACTTGAGGCCCATAGTTAGCATCTGAATCAGCTTGGAGGCCCATAGTCGGTTTCTGGATAGGACCCTAATGATCTAGATCTTGGTCCTCTTGCAGTTGGCTGAGTGCAGTCTGGTAAAGATGTTACTGAGCTGTATCTGGTTAGAGGTCTCTCAGTGGACGTGTCAAATAAGGTTCTGAGGTCATTCAGAACTTCATTATCAGGTCGCTGGCAGCCAATACCATATTGGACCAGGATGCTGGTTACATTTGGATCATGGATGTTGTGGCTCCTCTTACACTTGCTACCAAACTTGCATGAACCGGACAGGTAATGGTGGCAGAGATGTAGAAAGGAACAGGTTGTTCTATTGCATCCCTTTTCTATGTTGTAGTAAGTACAGATTCCTGGTTTGGTAAGAAAGGTGCGGTTTTCTATGCACCTTAATATTATCTTGATCTCAAGATTACTCAGCCTGTCCATAAGATAGGACTGTAGAACTTGCAGGTTGTGTGTTGTTTGAAGGTTGTGGCCATATACACATCTCCCTTTTGCCTGAAACTTGCACCAGTCTGACAAAAGGAAGAATTTACATATGTGAAGAGCATCACAGACACCTTCTTGGTTACAGACACCATCTTTTGTGGAATGATCCTCACAGATGGGTACTGGTGCAGACAGGAAAACAAGGCTGCCAGGAAGCTTTGGTTCTTGTATTTGGAATACTGGATACTTCTCAAGAAATTTCTGAAGGACTTGGCAGCTGCTGAACCCATCTTTATTGAGGTGACTGACAAGCTGCTGCAAGGATATCCTACAATTACACCTGCACAGCACCTTCATCACGTCAAATGGCAGCATCGTCGTTTGAGGCCATTGAGCTCAGTGTCTGGAACATAAAAGATCATGCTATTAGATCATGTTTGCCACTAGCACTACCACAAAAATGACACGGTTTTACAAATAATATAAATTTGAACATTATTGATGGACTGGTGATATATTATGATACATATATTCCAGTATTATCATGATCATGATGATAAGGGACACGAATATTGGCTTCACAGGGGTGGAAATAACTTTAAAATTGCTAGTGTACTCCGGAACAGTGGCACATGTAAAATCACTTGCCCTGATAATTTTTCCACTATACCGAGCCGTTTTCTTGTTGATTTTTTAAAATAAACAACATATATAACATTGGAAAGTCAACTGGACACCGGTACAGTGTGATATACAAATTTGCTTGCCCGACAGAAAAAAACACTGGACTCGGACGTCGGGCAATGGGTTATTTCCACCCCTGCTTCACTGGTCAACAGGTGAGTGAGTGAGGGAGTGAGTGACATACTATTGCATTTTCTTACTAAACTACAAAATCTAGCTCTGTTGGGGTTTCCACGATTTGCTTTCAGAGTAAGTCAAAGCAAACATAAGCAATCTGCTTACAATAATCAAGTTATTGTCATAAAACAAACTATCATATGACAGACAATGGATTCGGGTAGCCATGTGGGTATCCAATACAACTTTGGATGGATCCACTCGAATTTATTCCAGACCCGATTTAATCATTTCTTCTTGTTTCACTTTGCTGGACAAACACTCTAAAATGGGAATCATCTTTTTTGACTGAATTAGCGACCCACTAATTTCATTGATATTTTGTGAACATTTCTTCCATGGACATTTATACCGCTCTGAAACCAAATCTTGCTGACACCGCAATCATACACTCTGAAATTAACATAACACATTAGACCTCTGTGTTAAGCAATGGTATCCATTTTATTACATAAATTATCTTCAATGATGTAAGGATATTTCTAAGTGAGAAGGTTTAATTTTCTGTGATCACTAACCTACGTATTGAATACTAGGATAAAACTATATGAGATCAGAGACCATATTATATGGTCTCTGATGAGATTGAGTTGTCTTCATATTTTATACTTACGTGATTGAATAAAACGCACACAAAAGTGTGAATCTGTCTCAGTTCATTCCTACTCTAAAGCGAAAGTTGACTACGAAGAAATTCATTCGGAGCTCCTACACAGAATTGTTGTTGATATAGCCTTCACTGAGTTTGTGCCGGTTTAACCCGAGAATTTCCGACTGCTCAGAAATCATTGCCTAAATAATAGAGTTATTTCCCTTTATCTGTCAGTGTGGATGGAATACGTCGAAGTGTTAATGCCCCGTGACCGGCATCATTTTGGGTTGACATGCTTGATATAAGTGTGTTATGTTAATCTCAATAACATTATATCTTAGTGCTTGCTGCCACAACAGGAAAGATCTGAGACATCTACAGGTTACATCAAAACAAACTTTTATTATCCAGTGAAGTGACCAACAGGAACTTGACGTTAGCATCTGTTGCAATCAGAAAGCATCTGTTGCAAACTATAAACGACCATTGAATTTACCAAAAGAATTTGCATAGATCAATGCTCTTGCTGTTGTTTTCTAACACTCAGTGTCTGATGAAAATGTTTTACTTTGTTGGAATGGATATTTATCAAGAGAGAGACCATATACCGATATCGGTATATGGTCTCTGATCAAGAACTTGCACAGGCCTGAACAGTGATAATGTATTAAGGATAACCCCCTAAATGTTCAAATTCAATCGCTAAACTAAAGACAGTGAGTGACTGAGTGAGTGAGTAGTGAGTAAGTATGGTTTTACGCCACTTTTAGCACTATTCCAGCAATATCAAGGCTGGGCACACCACTAATGGGCTCCACATAAGGGTGTGTTCAAGCAAGATGTTCTTCCACTAACAGGGCTCCACATGAGGGATGAGGCTAGTGTTGAGCAAAGATGTTCAAGCAAGATGTTCTTCTGTTCTTGGGGGAAACAGCACAGGAAGTTGCCATGACATTTCAAGAGAATGAGGGCTGAGGTTAGTGTTGAGCAAGAGTGTTCAAGCAAGATGTTCTTCTGTTCTTGGGGGACACAGCACAGGAAGTTGCCACTACATTTCAGGAGAATGAGCCATGTAATTTGTACAAGTCATTAAAAGAATAGAATAATATTTTAATGCTAAAAAATACATTCTTTGGTGTATTTCATTCAGATTGGAAAGAAGTCCCATTTTCGGAGAGGCTGCAGGAATACCTGGCTCAGGTGTCTGACGATGAGGATGCTGGTAAACTTGACTCCTTCAACTCTCCTGAGGAATCATCACTTGGCTCGGATGATTTGTCAACTTTCACAGAGACTGAGGCTGAAAGAAAAATGACAGACATCACAGATCCAACAAACAGTGATCATGAGGATGTTGCCATGGAAACAGAAACAGAAGTTAAATAAAGGTATGTCTGATGCACTGTCTTATGTTACTTATTTAAATCAGAAATAATTCATATTCTTGACTCGGACTGTGTATTGGCAAATATGCAATACGTATTGCATTATATTGGGACCTTAAGTGTTTGACAGTGAGTGACACTAATTGTGCATGTCAATCCTATTTTCTACATTGTAAGTCCCTATACATATGTGATATGGTTCTGATAACAGCAATCTCACAATTAGGTAGCTTAGTCAGGTATTCTATTTTCTTTTTTATACAATTTGTAATTTTACAGTATGCTGTTTTGTCATTCAGTAATGAAGGAAAACATTTGTTGTGAATGAAAGTATGTGTAGATTTTGATTTAAACCATAAAGATAATCACAAAAACTTCATATCTGATTTTATGTTCTTTACCCAAAATACCAGTCCTCAGAAAAAAATATTGCAGTACATATCATTTGTAAAGGGTATTGTCATATACCAGTAAACCGGTAATACCGTGCAGTCCTATTCTTGACTCTACCTAGAAATTACTTGATATTAAGTAGAAACTAACCAAAGCAGATTTGAGTTCAGTTTGGACAGCAGTACAACTAGTCAGAAATCTATTTCTGGTCCCTTGGAGTTATGTCCCTTGGTCCCTGGGACTCTCAAGCAGAATGGAGAGTTGAGATCAAAGGTGTACATACATGGCAACAATTATTTCATGAACTACTGGTAATAAACGTTATATGTTACTCAAAAGGATTTAAGAAACACCAGGTTCTTTTATATTACAATAGTTAATTTTTCATGCTGTAATTAATCTTTTATGAATAGAAATTAGGATGAAAGAATTTCTTTTCTTAACTACTTTTCACTTGCCTATATCTGCTTATAAGTTATAGTTGTTACAACAATACAAGGAGCTTCTGAAGAACGTACCAGAAGTTTTGACCATGTACAACTTAACTGCTGTATAGTTGCATTGTTTCTGGGGTCAATTCATTTTTTACAGTCAAGTCCCGTTAATCCGACCTCCGTTTATCTGACAATCGGCGTTATTCGACAGTCAGCTTCATCCGTCAATTGGTGTTATCCGACAATCAGCTTCATCTGACAATCGTTGTTATCCGATAATCAGCTTCATCCGACAATCGGTGTTATCCGACAATCAGCTTCATCCGACAATCGGTGTTATCCGACAATCGGCTTCATCCGATGCTTTTGTCAGTAACAACTTGAGTCTCGTTAATCTGGCAGTCCCGCCGCTCCCATTCCAACAGGCCCAATTAACAACTGACTGTCGTAATCACACAGTAATTAGTCCCGTTGATCTGACATTGAGATTAGCAATAAAAGGACCTGAACCCTGAATTGATTATCGTTTTAGTTTTATTACACACACACTTAACGTGAATCACGATTGTCTTGTTTTGGACCATGAACGTGATCTGTAATCAGAATTCGATAATCTGACATTCTCGTTAATCCAACAATTTGCTGTGCAATGGACTATGTCAGATTAACAAGACTTGACTGTATGTGTGAGGAAGGGAGACCTAAGAAACTAATCTTTTAGAGTTTTTCGTGCTTTCATGTCAAAGACGATAAGGATAATCTCTCCAGTCAGCTTCCCTTTTGGCTTTTTATGGACCATTCAGTGTCTCTCACGTCAGCATTTGCAGAGTCTTGAGATGTAAAACATGTTTCCATAACCCAGTATATTTTGAGCCAATTTGTGTACGATACATATGAACCAGGGCCTAGATTTTGGAATCTCTCTCAGAGCCAAGATAGTCGTAAGTTAGTGTTAAGAGAACTTTAAAAATCGAGGCCCTAGACATTGGTCGAAGAAAGGACAAATAAATCTCAGAATACATTATTTTAATGTGATGTTGCAGCATCATGTGTTGTGAACAGACAGGGAGAGCTAGGTAGAAGAGAAACTGAGATACTATTTCCTTATATGTGTATGTTTTCAAATTTTTTAACAATTTCTGTCATGTACTTCTACAGCCCTGAGAAGGAGAACCCTCCTAAGAAGCAAGAACCGCCAGCTGTTAAACAGACATCAGAGAAAACAGCGCTGAAGAAAAGGAAATGGGTTGAGACTTATTCAATCAACAGTTTTATCTTTGTGGGAGAAGGAGAAGGGATGTATATGGGCATAGTGATGGGGAGTATGAAAAGGACAATCCTTAAGCTGTACTTGGGGTCTGTTGTGGTGGGATGTGCTGGGGTCCTGTGGTAGGGTGTGCTGGGGCCTTGTGGTGGGATGTGCTAGGGCCCTGTGGTAGGGTGTGCTGGGGTCCTGTGGTAGGGTGTGCTGGGGCTTTGTGGTAGGGTGTGCTGGGGCCTTGTGGTGGGATGTGCTAGGGCCCTGTGGTAGGGGTGTGCTGGGGGCTTTGTGGTAGGGTGTGCTGGGGCTTTGGGTAGGGTGTGCTGGGGATGTGGGATAGGGCCCTGTGGTAGGATGTGCTGGGGGCTTTGTGGTAGGGTGTGCTGGGGCCTTGTGGTGGGGTGTGCATGGGCCTTGTGGTGGGGTGGGGTGTCCTGGGAGGTGTCCTGTGGCCCTGTGGTGAGGTGTCCTGGGGGCCCTGTGGTGAGGTGTCCTGGGGCCCTGTGGTGAGGTGTCCCTGGGGAGGTGTCCTGTGGTGAGGTGTCCTGGGGGCGTTGTGGTGAGGCGTCATACTGCTCAGTAGTCCGGGGCACTTGTGCCAAGTGGTGGGTGTTGACTTGTCAGTACCAATGCTCATGGGTTTCACCAAAGCGGTGATAATGGCCATTTACAATGCGCCTTTTCCACACACATATGCATGCTCCAAGTGCTAACACATAATAACCCCAGATAACCCCAGCTGCCTGTGATTCACTAGACGGTTATTAGCATCCCACTGGGTACCCATTTTCTGCTGGGTGAACAGAGGCCATTTTGAACAAACTCATTTGCTTAGGGTGAGACCACATGTAGGGCAGGACTAAGTCCTAGAAACTCTCAGGAGTCAAGCTGCCAAACACGGTCACCCATCCAAGGTGTCTGCGCACTCAACTTCAACTGATTTGTGACCTGACCACACACCCCAAACCTCTGAGACCTGCTGTTCAAGGCAGCCTTAAATCCTAACTATTCACTCACTTTTTTCACCACCCTCTTACATCCCAACCAAGATTAATATTTAGAAACTGCCCTGGGACTCTAATAGTCTAACTCACTACTCTGTTATTGACAGATGTTCAAGATCCTATTCACAGTTTGAGGAAGAAATGGAAAAGTTTGTTTTGTTTCATCTCGGAGTATCCAGACCACAGCGACATTGTCAACGACCTCATAGTGGATGGAAGAATCCTTGTAACAGCAAGGTCAGAACTGTCCCCACATGGGTACAGAAGCCCATTTCTGGTGTGTGAGCTGAGTATCATTTAATTGTCTTCTTTATTCGATTGTAATGATATTCAGAGCTCCGGTGAGCGAGTATCATTTAATGACTCTTCATCTGTTTTGGTTCACCTTATGAAGAGGCATGAAGTTGACCTGAAACGTTATTAGGAAGAAGAAAGAAGTTCTGGCAATAAAGGTTTCATGTTTTCTAAATGCCTACCAAAGCCAATAAGATAATTAAACACTTTTATTACAGGGTTGGCCTTATAGAAGTCATCAATTCACATGATTTAATTCAGTTTCATCCCTCCTTGATAAATAAGTATGCTTTGACAATATCAGTGTGAAGATCCAGGTCAGTTTGTTGCATTGGATATCTTCAAAGAATTGTGACATCATCAGAAGTAAATTTGCTTCAGTGTGACAGCCCACTTTGATTGACGCCACGGGAATTGTGGAAGGGAGACAACACAAAACCTTGGATCGAGCGTGACAACATTGTGTAGTCAAGCATCGCTGGCTTGGTTGACACATGTCATGTTGGTTCACAATTACTTAATCGATGCTCATGCTGTTGATGATCAAGACCTGATTATCGTTGGCTGATGCTCATGTCTGTCAACCACCTGATCCATGTTGTGTTGACATTGTTATTATCTAATTGATGCTCATTCCTGGTTTATCAAGCAATCAACCACCCTACAGGGTAGCCTAGTGTGCCACAAAAGCATTAACTCATCATTCACTCATAGTTCGGGACATAATGTGGTCACATGTCATTGTCATGATAAATTAACACTGTCAACATGCCCATCAAACCATATCAAGGATAAATAGAGATCATTACATGAGCACTGTGTGTCATAGAATGGCATAAATGCTTGTCTAAAAGGAGTGTGAAATCTTGTGAAAATGCATAATTTTCACATATGATACACTTGCTCAAGTGTAACAATTTCTCTATTATCCATTTTATTCATGTAAATTTGTGCAGTAAAACACGATAAGCATGTGTGACAGCCCACTTGATTGACGTCACGTTCAATTGTTTAATGACGTCACAGACAACGGGATCGGGTGGACTCACTCACTCAGTTCCTCAGTGGTTTCAAGAGAAACTGTAAATAATAAAAACAAGTAATGCCAGTGGGTTTATTACAGTAAAGCATTATCACACATCAGCAGAAAATACACAACATTGAGGTTCACGTGACCTTGAAACATCGAATGATTTTCATCGAATTTTTTTTTACATAAGATAAAGTATAAAACATAAAACTGGGCGTAAGTGAAATGTGGAGACAAGATGATATATTTAACATAATCTTTGGCGCAAAATATTAACTATAATGAGTTAGTGAGTGAGTAAGTTTTTACACTGCTTTCAGCATGCAGTATTCTAACAATATCGTGGTGGGAACACCAGAATTGGGCTTCTCATATTGTACCCATGTGGGGAATCGAACCCGGGACTTCGCCATGACGAACGAACGCTTTAACCACTATGCCACCACACTGCCCCCATAATAATTACAACAAATTGTAGGGATGGTATCTCGGAACAATCCAGTAACAGTAAGGTAAAATTGTAAAATGTCTTGGGTTTACTGATTTGAAACCATATGATATTCAGTCATGGAATACCATCCTGCCGGAACTGTCTCATCCTAAGGTTGGTGAGGTAGCCTAGTGGTTAATGCATTCGCTCATCACTCTGAAGACCCGAGTTCAATTCCCCACATGGGTACAATGTGTGAAGTCCATTTCTGATCTTCCCCGCCATGGTATAGCTGGAAAATTGCTAAAAGCGGCGTAAAACTATACTCACTCACATTCACTCCGAGTCATGATGATCACAGCACATACTTGTAAACATGTGAAGAGAAATGGGGCTTAATGTCACATTCAAAGATCTTTCACTCACATAACGACCTACATACACGTGGGTGTGAAGCTGCGTGTGTTTGTCCACACTATAGTCCGTTTGGCTCAAAATCGGACCGATGAATTGCAATCTAACTCGAAAACTACTAAACATATAATACTCAATGAAACACTGATCATAATCAAAACATCAGACCAACTCTGTGATTTTTTTTGCAGAATTTATGTCCTACACATAAAAAATTTGGTTAACAAACTATCATTAAAATTTTGACACAGTTGACTATTTGTTACAAGGGAGGACTGCAAAGAGAGGAACAGCCAGGTGTACGCGGAGCATGTGCACAAGTGCCGACAAAGTTATTGAATCATATACCTGTGCTGTCTCCATCCTTTCTTGCACACCTGGCTGTTCCTCTCTTTGCACCCCTCCCTCTTAACAAATAGTGATACGATACGATTCCTGTATTTTTTCTAAGAATCGATATATTGGGTAAAGAACATATATGAAGTGTTTGTGAGTATCTTTATGGTTTAAATTATAATCTTCACATACTTTCATTCACAACAAATGTTTTCCTTTGTTATTCAATGACAAACAGCATACTGTAATACTAAATGTTGCTTAAAAAAGAAGATATTATCCCTGACTATACAACCTATTTTTGAGATTGCTGTTATCAGAACCATAACCTATCTGTTTAGGAGCTTATTACGAAGAAAATAGAATTGGCATGCACAATCAGTGTCCCTCATTGTCAAACACTTAAAGTTCCCAGTATATTGCAATACGTATCCCAATATGGGTACCTGAATTGCAATATATTGCAATACAACTTATTTGCCAACACACAACCCCAACTGAAAGAACTTCAATTGTGCTCAAACATCACAAGTTTACCACCAAGCACAGTATGAGCTGGCACAATTCTGATTAACACAATGTATATAAATTGTAATTACATTTAATCAACACACACAAGCAATAATAGAAAGAACATTGATTTTTAAATATGCATCAAATATTTTGGCTTCTACAACCATCAACAAGTTATTAGACTAATGAGTGAATACACATCATAGATTATGGTACAGGAAGTAGAAATGAATACCAGTTGGGACCACAAGACCAACTAACACACATCAAGAGAATTATACCCCACGTCAAAAGCCCACTAAACTACACAAATGAAATTGTATTTATTCTGCAATCTTTTGTTCATAAATAGCCTCCAAACTAAAGGACAATGTTCAAACATGTCAAAGTGAGCGAGTTTAGTTTTACGCCGCTTTTAGCAATATTCCAGCAATATCACAGCAGGGGACACCAGAAATGGGATTCACACACTGCACCCATGTGGGGAATCGAACCCAGGTCTTTGGCGTGACAAGCGAACACTTTAACCTCTAGGCTAATCCCAAAGGCTCAAAATTTAACATCAATTTGAAATAAAGTATGGAAACCTTTGTTAGATGTAATGATGATTTAACTCATAGAAATATCCACCCACAAACATGTCAAAGCATATGTTTCATTGTGTGTATATTACTGATAGTATATATGACACATAAATATATATAAATATGTAAAAATTACACACAAAACAAGATCAATGTATAAATACAAACAAACACTTCATGAAGACTTGCAACCCACTTTTGTGGTATTATTGCTTTTTTATCACTTTTTCTTTTTTTTCAACATGTGGAAACTATGAAAGCTGCTTAATGCATGGACAAACAAAATGTCGACCCAAACAAACAAACTTAGTATCACATAATTTCATGTCGGTAAATTATTATGTGACGGTGAGTCATTTTACATGAAAGCCATATGGACATCAACAAACAAATATAAAAAACAACCTTCATATGTATACTCTTAAAAAAAGTAGGGGATAGGAAGTATAAGCGATAACAAACTTTTCAAAGACAGACATCTTATGAACGCACCACCCTTTCTCTTTTTCGCCACCCCTAAACACAACACATGGTTTGCACGTGCACAATGCATGGGATGCACGTGCACAACGCAGTAGCCCATACATGTGCACCATGTGTCATCGGTAAAGGTCGGTAAATTACTGTATACCATTAATTTTGACAATCATCTTGCATCACAAAGTTGGTAGTGTTTGTTTCTAGCCATTTGTTTTTGTCTAAAAATGAAAATCGAACACATGCAAATTTTACACCATACACCAATCATCTTTCAAGAGCGATTACTGTACAAACAACTATGGTCATAAGGAAGTGCAAGTGGTGATGCACTCTCAAAACATTCACCATTATTATATCAACATTGATTGACTCAGATTTTTTCAATCGTAATTCAAACTTAAGTTCCCCAACGGTTTTTTAATGTATATTAACACAACATAAAAAACATAAAAAAAAAAAAAAAAAAAAAAAAATATTTACACACAGGGCTCCAGATAATTTTTCAACATCAGAAGTACATACTGGAAAACTTTAAGAGTACATTTAGAGTACAGAATGGAATTTAATGGCTTATCAGTATTCTTGTGTTTCATTTCATATATGCACCACAACATTGCTACTCTTGTGTAAACAGGTCAATAAACAATAAAACAATACTTTTATAGACAAATATGTCTGTAAATGATTCTAAGACCATACACCATTGCCGTGGTGCGTATCTGCTATGTTTTCTAAATTATTTCCTACAGTATCATGCATATCTTTTAGCCGTACATACGCCGATACGGCCCTTATCTAGAGCCCTGTACACACATATATATCCATGTATTTCAGACCTAAACAAAATCATTGTACATTGTATATCTGTGTACACATTGTAGTCAGACAATTTTGGGGTTATGAATCATTTTCTATCCTGGCTAGATCTCCAGTTCTTACACTGTTGTACTTCTAGAGGTTTCAAACAAGATTTGATATCTCTAAAACTGATTTGCTGGTGAGAAATAAGCATATGACCTTGAATTCAGAAAAATATGTTTTAAGTCAGGGATCAAAAATGCGAAGTAGATATATATATATTCCATTCAATAATGAAAACAAATGTAAACAAATTGATATTAGGTTAACGCTCAAGTGATAAGTGCTAAGGAATGTTTACAATAATTAACTATGGTGTTCACTGGTTAACTTGGAATGAATTTCACAGAAACACATATACCAATCAAATATACAACTCAAGGAGAGTACATGCTGGGTTTCATGCTATGTGCAAATGTGCACATTGTGCAGTACGAACAAAAGTAGAGAATGGGTGAGTGAGTTTAATTGAGTCACACTCTGCAATATTCCAGCTATATGGCGGCAGTCTGTAAATAATCAAGTCTGGACCAGACAATCCAGTGATCAACATCATCAGCATCTACCTACGCTATTGGGACACGATGTCATGTGTCAACCAAGTCAGCGAGCCTGACCACCCGATCCTGTTAGTCGCCTCTTACGACAAGCAGAAGATCAGTTCTAACCCGGATCTTCACGGGTTGTAGAGAATGGACACAGAAAATAAAATTCACTGCATCCTGAGGGACCCACAATATTATTCATTGTACCAACAACACATCTATGACTTTGCTAAGTGTTTGGTTGTTTCCTTCAGAGCAGTTACGTGTATCATTTCATCCACCAGTCCATATGATCAATGATTCATTCCAGGCTCTAAAGAAATGATCAAAACATACAGTTCTCTACACCAATACTTGACCTGACCCTCACACTGCCCGCAAGGACCCCTATAAATAATATTTAGGGGTCTCGGGACCCCCATGTGTGTAAGTGGAGGTAAAACCCAGGTACATGTACATGTATCTTTGTCAGGTCTGATAATAAATTACTAGTATTTGAAGAAATAAATCAAGGCTATTAATAGAGACAAAACATGTTTTCAGTCAGTATTTCAAAACAAACAATTGATTTTTTAACCCCAAAGTAGGAAATAATATTTCAAATTTCAAATTTTCTCACATTAAGAATTTCAACATTGCATACAAAGTAATTGTGTAAATATAATCACTAAAGCCTTCTAGACCGTCTTTTATTGGTCTTGCTGTCATTGAAATACAAATCTCCTCTACCATGGCATAACACTTGCTATCATTGCAACATATTTGGGATTACTCTTTCTCTGTAAACTCGAGATTCTAGTACATTTTGGGATTTGGAATCAAACCCACACTTTCACTGTCAGCACCTAATCCCCAGCACACAAAGTCAGCCATCTTACCCTCTGAGCCACCGTGGCTTCCACAAAATGGAAGTTGGACAACTAGTAGTCTTAAAACACAAAATCAGTCTAGATCTAGAGAGGTACTTTGTGTACCCTCTGTAAACTGATACATGAATATACAATGCATTTTAGAAACTGGTAAAATGCATGTTACATTTGGGAATACACACTCAGAATAGTGCAGATTCTAGTACCATTCAGGGCTCGAAAACTAACTCTCAGAATGAGGAAGGTAATCGTCACCACTAAATGTAAGCAATCATTGGATTTAGCTCTAACAGGATTTATCTAGGATCACATACCAAGTGTTACTGACAGGGAGATTGGGAAACAATCACAGTCATGTTTAAAAATGTTATTGTTGTAACAACGTTAAACCATTTCCAGGTCCCTTCAAATTGATTAAGTTTAATTATCTTAATTCAGTGTTGGAATCTTTGAAGAAATTAACTGTGGGAATCTTTACAGCCTATTGGGAAAAGCCTCTTCTAGGAAAATCCCTGCCAAAACCATATGACTTGGCAAATTGGGCAATTTTTACCAAATACGAAGATTTGAGTCTGAATATTCACTGCCGAGCAGGTCTAGACAAATATCTACTGAAAGAAGCATTATCTGCTAAAGTCATTCAAGATACAGAACATTCTCAATCGTAGGATATGAGATATTCTGGGTATGACTGTTCTGGTGAGAAGATAACAAAGATGGAAGGATCTGACGGATCATTCACACAAGAGTCGTACAGCTCATACTCATTCTGTGCACTTTTGGGAGGAGGACGCACATAATCAGGACTTCCTCTTGCACTTTCTCCAACAAGAACTTTCGCGACAAACATTTTCTTTTGTGATTCTGTTTGTTCAGTGTATGAGTCAGAATATTTAGCATCTCTTGCAAAATAGCTTCCGCGTCCATGCCTCGTGCCAGTTGTTCTTCCGCTAAATCGGGAGTCAAAGCCCTGGTGGCAGATGGGATCGATGTATTGTTCCAAAGTTCCATGAAACAGGCTCATTTCCTTCACAGGTTTTCCCGCCTTGATTGTCATTTGGCCGTTTCTCCTGTTGGTGTGACACAGCAGTTGAATTACTCACAAAAATAGATTTATGCATTATGAAATAGAAAAACACCCTCATGTTTCATATAATTGTAGTTAATTTGTCATGTAAGGATAGATTATCTATAGTAATAATAAGAAAGTGTTAGAATTTCAAGTCATGTTCACATGCACACAGGATTTTGTCTCACAGGGTGTTGACCCATGAAGATCCGGGTTAGAATTGATCTTCAGTAACCCATGCTTGTCGTAAGAGGTGACTAACGGGATCAGGTGGTCAGGCTAGCTGACTTGGTTGACACATGTCATCGTATCCCAGTTGTATAAATCGATGCTCATGATGTTAATCAATGGATCGTCTGGTCCAGACTCTATTACTTTCAGACCGCTGCCATATAGCTGGAATATTGCTAAGTGCAGCGTTAAACAACAACCACACCAAAATTTAACCAATTGAAGCTCTCATAAAATCCTTTTTAATCTGAAAAATAGTAACGGATGCGACAACAAACTTATTGCAACCCAAAAGAGTCCTTCATCTATATATTGAATGATGGTATAGAGGTTAAAAATGGTGAGCACATTTTTTCATAAATATCCAATAAGGTTTTACGATGTTGGCACACCAGGTTTTACATTAATACCTCTATACATGCAACAAAATATTGAAATCAGTACTGCATGTATGTCATATTCACAAAGAAACATTAAATGCATACTCACACATAGTAATTAGCCCACAATTCTCCATTTTCAATGCGCTTGATTGATTTGATCACTCTGCTGCTTGGGAGAGTTTTGTAGAAAAGATCTTTTACTTTTTTGTATTCTTCTGTGGTGCCATCAACCTTGAACAGACAAACACAGTGTCTCAATGTGGAATGACTTCATTTTACTGACAAACAATACAGAATATACAGAAAATTATGGTTGACATATGCCAATGTATCCAAGTTAGATCAATGCTCATGCTATTGATCACTGGATTGTCTGGTCCAGACTCAATTTATAGCTGGTGCCATATAGCTGGAATATTGCTGAGTGCAGCATTAAACAACAAACCAACCAACCAAATCACGCCACTTTCAGCAACACTAGCAGTTCGGTTGGTGAGGACAACAGAAATGGGCTCAAAGCATTCTACCTATCAGGGGAATTGAACCTGAGTGTGTGGCATGACAAGCGAACACTTGACCTACTAGGCTAGCTGTGCCTCTATGGTTTTGGATGCTGAAGGAAGAAGACCTGCTATATACAAAGGTACTCACATCGGGACGGCTAAAATGAGCGAAAAGTTGTTTGGTTGACTTGAACTTCTTGCAGCTCCATACATCCGGCACTTCGACACTGTCAGAGGATGGTGCCACGTTCCTGATAATGAAAGGTACATCATCAGATACTACACATCATCAGACTTATGTGAGCATGAAATTAAAGTGAAATAGGATAATGTCTCTGGTGGAGGTGTAAGGTTATGCTGAGACTGCAAAAGAGCTGTGAAATGATTCATATCCCGACACATTACAATAATTTCTTTTTTTTCCTTTCTTTTTTTCAATTGTATTTACTCTGGCTCTTGAACAGTTCCAGTTATTATTCACATGTTTTACAATCAATCAATCAATTAATCTATTTTTTTGGCAGTTAGTAACTTTCATTTTAAATTTCTGCCAATATCTAAAATGACATTATATGCTGATTGAAAAACCTATAGATCATCCTCATGGATCAGATGCTTACCATTTACCTGAAGTGGCTATCGCTGATGAAACAATTAAAATTTCGCAAAATTAACCTATCAAATTAGATAAACAGTGGCTAGAATATTTAGTAAAAAGGCAGCATTGGAGACAAGTTTAAACCCTGGTTGACCACATCTTATCAGATAAACATTTTGCATCCCTTATTTGGAATGCTTGTATACAGCAGTGACTCTGGGAGACGACATATTGTCCTGTGTGAAAAAATATATGTGATAATAAACAAACCTGTTTTTCAAGTCTCCCTTCTTGTAGAAATATGGCCGCCTTCTGACATTCCGTACTGTCTTGACCTGTGTGTTGTCCTGTGTCATTGTGGACAAGTTGAGGTTGTAGCTGTACTCAGCTGTATTGAAGTCAATAGATCCCTTGGGATCAGCTAAATACTCCTTCTCGATGGCCTCACTGTCTATAGTCGAGGTGAAACCACGAAAATCCTGTAACATGCAGAGTGAGTGAGTGAGTGACTGAGTCAGACACTTTCAGCAATATTCCAGCAATATAATGGAGGGGAACATCATAAATGGGCTTCACACATTGTACCCATGTTGGGAATTGAACCCGGGTCTTCGGCGTGACGAGCGAACGCTTTAACCACTAGGCTAAGCCACCAACCTTAGGATGAGACAGTTCCGGCAGGATGGTATTTTGTGTGTTGTTTCAACACTATGGAATACTCCTATATGAGCTGTAGATGTCAGCCATAAGACAGTGGTCCATAAATATTCAAGAGTGGACCCAATCCACCGCTTGACATCATGAGCATCGATCTACGCAAATGTGATCCAATGACGAGTATCAAGAAGGCAAGTCACCATCATGACCACCAATCACTTTAGTCACTTCTTACAAGAAGCATGGGTTTATACTGAAGACAAATTCTAGCCTGGATTTTCACTGGTATCTAAAGGAGACATGGATAGGTCGGTCTTATGTACAAGTAATCATAAGTTGTAAAGTGGGCTATCTGTGTATTTGTCTGTGGAATTGTAGAAAAACATAGTTTTCCTGATCTTAAGTGGACATACCAGCCCAGCTGGGCCAATTTTGGAACACGGTGCCCCAAACTGTTTGTAATCAATGTGCCTGAAGCAAACGTTGAGGTGATGGGGTAGCCCAGTGGTTAAAGCATTTGCTCATCAAGATGAAGACTTTTGAATCCCCACATGAGGACAATGTGCAGCCCCTGTATGGTGTCAGCTGCCGTGATATTGCTAAAAGTGGCACAAAACTTAAACTCACCCACTACAATATACCTAAAATGCTGTACAAATTGGAATGAAACTTTGACCATTGACAGAAAAGCATTGAGTATTTCAGGCCTAATTGAACCACTTTTGGCTGTACCTCTGTTGTAAATCTAACCTTTACTCCATACTCTGTCCAGTCTCCAAACTGAGTCTCCCAATACCACTTCCAGTCTGTTATCCACTTGTGAACCACAGGTGTTGTACTCGGATCCTCAGATGATAGGGTGGACAGTCGACGAATGTCCATTTCAGCGTCCTCCCCACTTCCTGTCATAGGGTCATCAGTGAAGCTGATTTTAATAACTCCACCAAATCTGACAACAACAAAATCATTCAAGACAATTTGACATCATTTTGCGAGCAGAAGACACATGAAAACAATTATGCTTGCTGAAGACAGTTGAAAACAATCAGGCTTGCTGAAGACAATTGAAAACAATTATGCTTGCTGAAGACAACTGAAAAAATGATGCTTGCTGAAGACAATTGAAAACAAATATGCTTGCTGAAGACAACTGAAAACAATTATGCTTGCCCCAATGGGGAGTGTTGCGCTTAATCTTACGTACTGTCTTACATCTGTTCAAGATGATGTAAAAAATATCCAGCAAATGCAAAATGTAATTTTTTGAGTAAAATTGATATTTTATACTTATCCTGACTCATGCTTAATATGCTTGTCTCCTCCTCTATGCGGATGATAGTGGAACACTTGAAATCCCTTGTAGTTCCCTTGAAGAGGACGTAAAAGAACACTCACCCACAAGTTGCCTCCCTTGCATACTTTCCCACAAAAACAGTCATATGACCAACCATGCTTGTCACTCTCTCCGTAATATACCCAACACTTGGATCTACCGTGAAATCCAAAGTGCCATTCAGTGGGGAGGTTGGGAGGGCTTGACATCATGAGTCAGGATAAGTATAAAATATCAATATTACTAAAAATATTACATACTTTTCCTTATCCTGACTCATGCTTAAAGAACAAATAAACTTTGTTTTTTTGTACTCTCTTAACTATTACATTTGAAAGATTTGTCGTTAGTCTAATTTCATCTTTAAAAAGTTAATTAATACCGAGCGATTAAAAGTTGCCAAAAAGTCACCCGCCAATGAAACCACAGACATGTTACGAAACTCTGTCGCCAGAGCATTGCAGTGACGTCATATGAGGAAGGATTTTCAGTTAGTTGTATAGAAAGTGTGTAGCAAGTTCGTCATTTTGATGATTTCTCGACATCAACGAAGACATGCAGAATTGTTGCGTTGTCTTCAATTGCTCCTAGGGGTCGGGGAATGGTGTCACCATGCACAGATTTCCACAGGACCCCACAGTTTGTGCTAAATGGGTTATGCTTGTGAGTGCGAAGCGAGTGTTTTGGAAGCCTGAAACGATATCTTACTTGTGTTCAGATCGCTTCACGGAAGTTAAAGAATCAAAACTACTTACTAGTTGTAGTAAAATATGTATATGATTGATGACCATAAAGATTTTCCATGACACAACTTGTAACATAACGATTTCTTCCTCGGAAGTGAGGTTGTGGTCGAAGTAACAATAATATTGTAAGTAGTATTATATTGACACCCACTTCGCTTCCACGAGAGAAATTGTTTTGTTATAAGCTATATCATGCAAAATCCTATTGGCCATCAATCAAACACATATTTTACTGCCAGTAGAAAGTAGTTTTGATTTTGTAACTCGGTGAAAACAAACCTAAAGAGCATTTATCCTCAGACTGGCGGATGTTCGCGACAGGGCGCCGCCATTTTTGTAAATCGTAAAGTCACAGGCTAAAGGCTGTTAGAATTAATGAGATTATGGTTTGTGTTCATGAAGTTTGAAAATCAAAACAACTTTCTACTCGTAGTTACATATGTATTTGAATCATTACCAAAAGAATTTTGCATGACACAACTTATAACATAACGATTTCTTTCACGGAAGCGAGGTGGGGGTCGAAGTGACAATACTGCGCGATAAATTTCTTGCTACATTCACTTGGTTAACATCCACTCACCAGTATGTAGATACTAGTCAATGTACGTCTTTATATTTGGTCTTATAATCCTAATTAGTTTATTATCATACTTGTATGCATTTTGAAACTAAATAAAAAGCAGACGATCTGCTGATACTTATAGTGAATTTATAACAGGACTGTAATATCTAGACATTTTATAGTTTGCCAATGTGAATCATAATTCACACATACGCCCTGAATAAAAACAAAATGCAAATATTAAAATGAAAAGAGATGAAAGTTATAGGAACAATGTCAGGCTATTACCTTGTTCGAGGAATGTATCCATCAATATCCACAAAAACGAGTGATATGCCATTCATCTGCAGCTGTTCCAAGTGATGTGTCTTTTAACAGTCTAATATACGAAAAAATGATACATCGTTTCAGGTATTTCACGTTGGTGTATAGTCTCATTGGTCACCCAAGATAGCACACCTGGCAACTAATTGCATAATGTCCGCCATTCTTTAAAAAAAAGTAATTTAGTTAGCCAATAATGAACAATCAATCAATGTATTGGCGGTTAATCCTTTGAAAGAAGGACGTTGCATTTACACAGACACAGACACGACAGAGTGTATTTAGTATAGATTAGTAAATCTACATACATAAACACTACCTTTTTACAAATCCGCTGTGTAAGATAAAAGTAATTAATCAATCAGCGTGTTATCGGTTAATCGTTTGATCGATGTTTATAATGTTGAATCTTTACTCCAGACACAAGAAATGCCAAATGGGAACCTTTGTCGGGTGATCTAAGTGGTGTTACCACTAATTATGCCTGTTATAAATTCATTAACTGACCATCAAGTGAATGATGACAAATAACGTGTAGGTTTATACCACCTAACACGGGTTACAACAAGGGAGTATTAATTGCTGTATTGCATGCAATTTTAATTGCATGTGAAAACTTATGGGCCGACATTGTTTTGAGAATACAAACAGAACTTCATTGTTGCATAAGAAATACATATAAGCATTTGCTGTGTGCTAAAACTGTATGTACCTACTTACCCAAGTAAATTTTCAGATTCTTCTAGCAATGGCAAAGTGGGATTGTTTAGTTTACTGATTCAAATAAATCAAATGTCAATTTTTAATATCATACGTAATAGACGTCATATTGTTACATGACATGATTCAATATCGAGGTAAAAAAAAGAAAGAAATGGGATCAATTTGGATAAGTCATTATACCATTCAGGCATTAGAAAACCTGAAAAAGCCCACACTGCTTTGATACTTAATTACAATTAGACAAGAACTACCGGGGAAATTTTCAAATAACTGCATCTGATGGGCATCCACCCTTCTTAATGTCGCACTGTTTAGGTTGAAGAAATTACCGTGATGAGCAAGGCTGATCATCCTTTTAACTATCACTAGCGTCTGGCTCGAACAAATAAGGGCTAGCGACACCAAGCAATTTTGACAGAATGGTCTATGAAAACAAGTTGTAACTCGGAAACTAGGCAAAGCAGGAGACAAAATTAAATGACAGTAGATTGTGAGAACATATAGCTTTCATTTTTCACAACAGTTGTCACGATTTCAGGTTTATACAAAAAATGTAAACAAGATAATTTACCCCCTGAAATGTAGATGAATTCTGCATCGGCCCTCATATCTATTCCTCATATGATGTCACAGAGTAGCCCCGCTTGTATTGGTTGAAATTTCTTCGCGCGGGTGAGAATTGTGCACTGTTGTCAAAAAGGTCGATTTAAGTTAATTAAAGATCGAAATGAGAAGCTTTAATGACGGGGTTTCATTTATAACGATGCCAATAAGTGATTTATGTATTTGTACCCTCCTATAGTATATCTGATCTTTAATATGCTTCCAGAATCTGACGGATTGGTGGTGGGTCAGGCCACAACTTCGGATTTATCGGCTGTCCTAGATACGTCCTGTATCTCCCCCAATGGAAACTATGTAAGGGCACTACTAATGATCCTGTTCTTCCAACTTTCATCTGTCAACTCAGGGGACCACATCTTGTCAGACTTCTCAAAGACAAGTGAATCTAACAGATTCATGTGGATTTAAGATATAGTAGAATGTCTTTGTAATATCTATAGCAACTCATGTATTATGATATCTCCTTAATCATAATAGTTCCGACCCTTTCCACGTACGAGTATTTCCTATACAAGTACAGGGTCTTAATCACTCATGCTAGCCTGCTCTAGACGTACACATGGACTCTCAACCAAGACTCTTCAGAGTGAAGGTATCATTAAGTCATGTGATAAAAAAGGGTGTCTGCCAGGATATTCTTTGCTCCAGGAATGTGACACGCCTTTATCCAAATATTCAAATTGTCCACTATGTCGAACAGTTGGCACACGAGCTGTAGCAGGTTTGACGATCTTGTTGAGCCACTGTGGAATTGTCTGTGTGCACTGTCAATATTTTGTTGATCAGGAAGCTCGACTAATATTGTAAGGCGTTGATCACTGCTTTCAATTCCAGTAGACTGATGTGAAGAAGTTGTTCTCTTCTCGACCACTTTCCTGCAGCTATCTTGTTCCCGAGGTGTGCTCCCCAACCTTGTAGAGACACGTAGAGATGAGTATTGCAAGCCGGCTCTATTAAACAGGTTCCTCCACAAACATTCGACCTGTAAGTCCACCATAACAGACACGGCTGTAGACTTTCCGGCAGGGTTATCGGCTCTGTACTGTTGAGATGGGCATTCAGAAATCGCTGTAGTGGGCGCAACTGTAATCTTCCTCTGCGGGTCAAATCTTGCGTTAAGGTGAGTAAACCCAAAAGACACTGCCATGTTAGGAGCTTCAGTGGAGAGATGACTGCTTGCGGGATCATGGCTTGTATCTTGATCAAACGATCTTCTGGGACTATGATGCAATTCTCTGTTATGACAAACCTTATTCCTAGAAATTGTAGATCTCGTTTGGGTTCCAACTCCGACTTCAGTAGGTTCACTAGCCATCCTAGCTGTGTGAGCAGTCTGATGGTGAAGTCCAGCTGTAGCTTGAGTTGGCTGGCTTCCTGATGAGCTTGTATTCCGTCGTCCACATAAAAAGCACTGCGTAGGCCTCGATGATGTAAAAAGGCGACGATGGGCTTGGTCACTCGTGTAAACGATGGGGCTGAAGATATTCCAAACGGCAGGACTTTCCACTGGAAGTGTTGACCTTTGAACAGGAATCTTGATACTTTCTTGAGTCCTGATGTATAGGAATGTGAAGATATGCATCCTAAAGGTCTAAGCTGGCTAAGTAATCTGCTGGACGAATGAGACGTCGGAGTTGTGAAAGATGAATCATCTTGAACCTTTCGGGTTTGAGAAGATAATCTTGGTTGAACTTTTTCATATTGTAAATCAGCCTGAACTTCTCCTTGGAATTCTTCTTGGGTACTAGGAAAATTGGGGAGTAAAACCCGGGTAGGAACTGATCTTGATCTAATACTTCGATGGCATTCTTTTCTGGCTGAGTGTTGACAGCCTCTCCTAACTTCTCTGCTTGTTCGTCTGCGTAATTGAAGATCAGCGGACTGCATGTCAACGGAGGTGTGGCCTTCAGTTGGATTCTGTAACCTTGTTGTAGGGAAATGGCTGGGGGTGGAAGACTCCAGTCGTTCCGAACCCCATCTTCAACGTCTAGTCTCTCTGGAACCTCTGGGAGCACGTCCTCTCCCAGAGGCAAATCTTGTATTCCCGGCTGGACGACGAAAGGAACCTCTCGCACCTCTTGAACTGGAATATTTCCTCTCCTTGGCCTTCTGTACCCCTGCGAACTTGGACTTGTTACTGTACCTGTGATAGGTCTGACAAATGACATTCGCTAAAGTGTCGATCGACTTGATCATCATCACTTCCCTTGAGTCGTGCGTGACTTCCCTGGCAATATCTTCGATTCCTCAGCCGAATATAGTAGGCACTGACCACGGGGCTCTAAGGAGTGGCTTGGTGAATCTTTCCCTCCATGAGCACGATGATAGGAGACCTTGTCTTCTTAAGAGGGTAAGGCCCGCAGATGTAGGCCAGATGTTTGAGATGAAATGCTGATCTCTCTTCTGGGTAAGCAGCGCTGAAAGGATCATCCTGTCTTCCTCTGATCGTGAGTTCTGGAACTTTGAGATGAGCGCCTCGTTGATTGCTCTGGATCGTGCTGGGCCGAAAAACGTTTGCCTGGTAGTGGTGTCCAACTGGGCAATCTTCTTATCATCTACTTTATAAGTCTTGCTGCGACTATCGTTGATAAGCCTGTAATTTTCATCCAAGTCCGGCGCTCTCATAAACGGCTCCATGTGGTGTGGCGATACAGCAAAATTTAGACTAAGGGATAAAAAAACAAAAGGATATAGTGCCGTATAGGGACTCCCAATTCCCACAGCCATCCACCAGGGTGATGCAGGAGAGAGTGACAAGTATGGTTGGTCATATGACTGTTTTGGCGGAAAATAAACAAGGGAGGCAAATCGTGGGTGAGTGTTCTTTTACGTCCTCTTCAAGGGACTACAAGGGATTTCAAGTGTTCAACTATCGTTCGCATAGAAGAAGGAGACAAGCATATTAAGCATGAGTCAGGATAAGGAAAAATAATAGAAATACAGAGCCAAAATGCAGAACTATCAGTCATTTCTTAACAGATATCTTAAACTTTACCCCAAATATCCATATTTAGCATTTCTAGTAGAAATACAGGGCCTTTATCATATTAATAAAATGCTAATTACTGACAAAATGGATACTTACTTGACAAAGCATTCAATTTTGTCTGGCTGACAAAAGTTCATTTCTATGTTGGTGTTAGTTTCCTCATCAAAATCCTTCCATTCTTGCCGACAGTCAGCTTTTCCTTGTTTCTTCCGACACTGCCACTGGTATATCATGTCCTTGTGATGTTTCATGCAGTTGTCGCCATACCAACACTTCCCTTTTAAGAAAAAAGTACAAATATCCAGGGTGTCCTTGTCAGATGTCTGTGAAACCTGTTTGTCATAGGAAGGTCTTCCCATGGACTGTGACCTGGTCTTCTGATTGGACTTTGGTCGAGTTCCGTCATTTCTTTGTCCTTGGTTTTGATGCTGGGGATCTAGCATCTTTCTTCTTGGTCTTCCTCCGGCTCTTTGAGATTCATGCTGTTGTGGCATCTGTGGTCCTTGGGGTTCTGTGTGAGGACGAAAGGGTTGCCCTTGTTTCCGAGCTGGACTTCCATAACGATTTGGGAGGACATTGGGAGGCCCATATCCTGGATTTCTTTGATGATGAATGTCAGGGGGATAAGGATTTGGGAGTGTGTTGGGAGGCCCATATTCTGGGTTTCTTGGATGGTATATGTCAGGGGGATAAGGATTTGGGAGGACATTGGGAGGCCCATATTCTGGGTTTCTTGGATGGTATATGTCAGGGTGATAAGGATTTGGTGGATTAGGATACGGACCTTGGGGGGCACTCATACTGGAAGGATAGGAGCCATATCCTGCTCTCACAGGTCCATAATATTGGTTTCCGGACTTCCTCCACTGCCAGGAGGATATCCATATGGGTCTTGTGACGGGTGCATATTCGGAGGGGGACAACCATAACCATAGTTACCATACTGATCTTGAGGCCCGTAGTCAGCATCTGAATCAGCTGGTGAAGGGGAGCGTACTCTCCGGTTTCTTTTAGGACCTAATGATCTAGATCTTGGTCCTCTTGCAGATGGCTGAGTGCAGTCTGGCAAAGATGTTACTGAGCTGTGTCTGCTTAGAGGTCTCTCAGTGGACGTGTCAAATAAGGTTCTGAGGTCATTCAGAATTTCATTCTCAGGTCGCTGGCAGCCAATACCATATTTGACCAGGATGCTGGTTACATTTGGATCATGGATGTTGTGGCTCCTCTTACACTTGCTACCAAACTTGCATGAACCGGACAGGTAATGGTGGCAGAGATGTAGAAAGGAACAGGTTGTTCTATTGCATCCCTTTTCTATGTTGTAGTAAGAACAGATTCCTGGTTTGGTAAGAAAGGTGCGGTTTTCTATGCACCTTAATATTATCTTGATCTCAAGATTACTCAGCCTGTCCATAAGATAGGACTGTAGAACTTGCAGGTTGTGTGTTGTTTGAAGGTTGTGGCCATATACACATGTCCCTTTTGCCTGAAACTTGCACGAGTCTGACAAAAGGAAGAATTTGCATATGTGAAGAGCATCACAGACACCTTCTTGGTTACAGACACCATTTTTTGTGGAATGATCCTCACAGATGGGTACTGGTGCAGACAGGAAAACAAGGCTGCCAGGAAGCTTTGGTTCTTGTATTTGAAATACTGGATACTTCTCAAGAAATTTCTGAAGGCCTTGGCAGCTTTTTATGTTGAACCCATCTTTATTGAGGTGACTGAAAAGCTGCTTCAAAGATGTCCTACAATTACACCTGCACAGCACTCTCATCACGCAAATGGCAGCATCGTCGTTTGAGGCCATTGAGCTCAGTGTCTGAAACATGTAAGATCATGCTATAAAATCACGATTGCCACTGTCGACGTCATGACAGCCACCGTCGCCACTACTTCCCCCCAAATGACACATTTATACAAATAATATAAATTTGAACATTATTCATGGACTGGTGACATATTATGATACATATTAGCGCTGGTACGGGTCCAAATTTTCTACCCGGGTACCCCACCCCCTATTACCCTACCCTACCCGTAATGTTAATTCGTGACATCAAATTTGCAAGAAATAGCATTATATTCTTCAGCTCTGAGGCTAAAATTTCGCTTTTTTCAATGCCTTATCCATGTATTTGGCCTACATTCAAAAGAAGTGACGTAAATTATGTCTAAATTTTCAAAGACAATACAACCTTTTAATCATGAAAGAATAACATATTACATTGTTTAATCTATTAGTCACATGATCATAACGGGTCGGGTATTGAGACGGGTACCCAGGTCCAACTCATTACCCACCTGTCCTGGGTATCCGAGTTACCCTTCCCAGCCCTAATACATATATTCCAGCATTATTATGATCATGGTGATAGGGTACACGAGTATTGGCTTCATAGGTCAACAGGTGAGCGAGTGAGTGTTTGGGTTGATTCCTTTTCGAACGAATAAATCGAGTTATCGTCATAAAACAAAATATCATGTGACTAACAATGGACTCGGGTAGTCACGTGGGTATCCAGTACAACCGAATTTATCCAGGCCAGATTTATTGTTGTTTCACTTTGAAGGACAAACACACCAACGTGGGAATAATTTTTTCGACTGAAGCAACCCAATAAAATTCATTATATTTTGTGAACATTACTTCCATAGACATTTATACCACTCTGAAACCAAATCCTGCGTACACCGCAATCACTCTGTATTAATATAACACATTAAACCTCTGTGTCACGTAATTTTATTACATGTTATCTTCTAGTTATATGATGTAAGGATATTTCTAACTTCTTTGAGTGGCATTTTAGAAGTTGGGAAGTACAATATAGAACACACTTTATGGATAACAACTTGTACTCACGAATAAAAAGAAGTTGTTATCAATAAAGTGTGTTCTATATTGTAGGATATTTCTAAGTGACAATGTTTAATTTTGTGTGATCACTAATCTACATACTGGAATCAGAGACCATATAATAGAGGGACGGCCCTCCGCAACAGTTTATCACTAACCATCAGCGCTACAGCCTGGCATGTAACTGATACACATCGACACCCTGCTGCTAACTTCCCTCTATTATATGGTCTCTGCTGGAATATAGGATTAAACTATTTGAGATGTTTTCGTATATAATAATAATACATTTGTAAAGCGCCTACTATCCACCTTACAGATGCTCAGTGGGACAAATACAGTGATAAAACTGAACATATATACATAAAACAGAGAATGAATGGATTATCTACTGGTACACAGATAGAAATAGGTGAGTCTTAAGCTGTGATTTAAAGGTGTCTTTTTTTAAGTGGTTGTATTTCTGAGGTTTTGGGGAAGCGAATTCCAGAGTTGTGGGCTGACGAAAGAGAAGGCGATATTATACTTACGCGATTGAATAAAACACCCACAAAATTGCTAATCTGTCTCAATTCTTTCCTTGCCTAAAACGAAAGTGTACTACGAAGAAATGCAATCGGAGCTCCTACACATCATTGTTGTTGATATGCCCGATAGCCTTCACTGAGTTTTGCCGGTTTAACCCGAGAAGTTCCGACTGCTCAGAAATCATCGCCTAATAATAGAGTTATTTCCCTTTATGGGAATTCCCCAAATTACATACGGGCAATGAAAACATGTCGGCTCCCTCCATGAGTATCAGCTTGGCTCGTCAAATTAGGAAACTTAGGAAGAAACTGAGACAAATAGAAAACCTCGAGAGACTAGGCAGACAACTTTCCGAAGAGGAGCGCCTAAAGGTTTGTACAAATGAAAGCCGCGTTTGCTCTTTGAGGTTGAAAATGGTAGGACACGTCATTCAATGGCACCGATGCAGATGAAAATGTGTAACCACCAAACCATGCAAAATGAGTCATTTGGTAAGGTTCAGTTTAAAAGCTGAAATATGTATATTCTATTGCTTATTTTGAGAACAATTAATATGAAACAGTAACGGAACAATTCCGTACAATTCCCATGTCAGCTGTGGCTGAACATCTCTATGACTGAACTTTTGAAGTCTCGGAAGCGTCATTGTTGTTCTACTGCTGTTTGAAGCAGAGTTTGTTTTTGTTGTTTTCATCCATCTGTGGCCAGTGTTATTCAAGAAAAATGCTGGTAGAGTTAAGAAAACGCGATCATGTCCTATCCTATACTTCATTTATATATGATACTTTACTTTGATGTGAAATTTGATACCATGAGTAACTATCCCCACTTGTGTTCAACCTTTAATTTTGATTAATGTGACTCACTGAATCGCTGACTCGTGTATGCTTCACTTCTCACCAATGCACTGATTATGATGCAAAACTCTATGCATTATATGTGTCTAATATGTGTCTCATACAATTTTATGTGTCTTATATATGTGTCCAATATGTGTCTTATTAGAAGTGTTCACCTGTTCACCACACCATTTTCAACATTATTTAAACAAGAGTTGTTAAATCAATATTATCTCAATTACATAAAATTATTTAAGTCTAACTAACATGATCGGTCGGTCAGGCTCACTGACTTGATGGACACATGTCATTGTATACCAATTGCATAGTTCGATGGTCATGCTGTTGATCACTTAATTGTCTGGTCCAGACTCGATAAGTTACAGACCACCGCCATATAGCTGGAGTGTAGCGTAAAACTAAACACTCTCACTCACTCACTCAAGAACTTCACCTACCGAGAGACCAATATTCAGGCTTTAGCCTGCATTCAATATACATAAATTTCTTATGATATTTCTGTTGTTATAACTATATTTTTGCTTTCTATAGGAGTGACATATATTTGGCATATAACAGTACCCATAATGAAGACGATCATTTTATATCATATTTTTATTGAATATAGTATTAACTTACAATTTTAAAATAATCTTGAATTATGATAATAACCTTGAGCAAACATCCCCATCTGGAACTTCAGAGGAAAACTGAAAACATTCCTCTTCACGAGAGCATATAACTGAGCGCCTTTGAGCAGAGTCCTGGATAAAGGCGCTATATAAATATCTAGTTTATTATTTATTATTGTTGTACCAACAACACATCTATGACTTTGCTAGGTGTTGGTTGTTTCTTTCAGAACAGTTAGATGCATTATTTCATCCACCAGACCACATTATCAATGATTCATTCCTGGTTCTAAAGAAATTATCAAAATTTACAGTTCTCTACACCGTTACTTCACAAGACCCCCATACTTGGGGGTCCCCAGGATGTGTGAGTCGAGATAAAACCCTGGGATCTTAGTTCATAATTTTTTACCAGGGTGAAATGTGTAAATAATAACACAATATGTGTCAATTTGTTTTGTACATCTTTCAGTGTGTTGTATAAGAAAATACCTAAACACATTTGTGTCATTCTATTGCTTGAAACTTCTTGCACATACCAGCAGATAAAAGACAAAATGTTTCTCATGACTACTACAAAAAGACACTAACATTAGCATTAGACCATGTTAGATGTCATTCTGTCATAGACGTCTTTCAAAGATCCGGGGCGGTGGGGTAGCCTAGTGGTTAAAGCGTTTGCTCATCACACCGAGAACCCGGGTTCGATTCCCCACATGGGAACAATGTGTGAAGGCCATTTCTGGTGTCCCCCGCCGTGATATTGCTGGAATATTGCTAAAAGTGGCATAAAACTTAACTCACTCACTCACTTTCAAAGATCCGTAAAGAATTTTTGGTGAATGTCACGAAAAGGTGAAGGTCACAGGACAGAAATATATTCTGTAAATAATATATGAATATGGTATACACTTTCAGTACTGCACCACATCTGTCAGTATGGAATATGTCAAAGTGTAAACAAGCATTGAATTTACCAATAGGAATTTGACTTTGGCCAATCAGAAAGCAGCTTTTTCATCTTAATGGCACCAGTTTCAAAATCATGACTTCCATTCCAGACGACACTTTTGAAAAATATTTCCAAAAAGTTCTTCTTTCAAAATTTAAGAAAAAAGAAATTCCAACATATCTAACAGATGGCTGTATGGTAGTACTTCCCACTGGCTACTGAAGCCTCTTCCTTTTCAAATGTTTATCCAGCTGAAGTGAGAGACAGTTGATTTAGCATTTGGAATTAGTCACAGCTAGACTAACACTTGGTCTCTGAATATACAGTCGAGCACCGTTGTGTCGATATTCATGGGACCAGGAAAAAAATATCGAGTTATCCGAACTTCGAGGCATCCGACCAGGGCATATCATCACATATCACTATGAAAGAAAACAAAACTCTTCTCAGTATGTTTTGATTCGAAACTATAACCCCTTATCAGTAGTGTTTAGTCGTAACAGTGAGTACTTCCTAATTAATTCCTTCTTAATTAATCCTAATTAAATAACAAACAAGTGACACCTTCAACTCAATTAGCCCTAATTAGTTTACACTACCGCATCCCTTTGGTTCATGCCGCACCGTGTGGAAACAACCTCAATTCAGAGGGATACTTGCCCATGAAAGGTAGGTGAATATCTAGATTCTTTGCAAATATCGAGTTATAAGGGTAATTTGGCTGGTTGGGACCATGAAATTATATCGAGATATCCGAGAATCGAGATATCCGTGTCTAGTTAAAAGAACTTGAATAATGATAAATTATGAAGGATTTTGCCGGGACCGAGATGTTATATCAAGACAACTGAGATATCGAGTTATCAGAGTTCGACACAACAGTGCTCGACTGTACATAAGTTTTACAGAAACAAATGATTCCCTGTAAACTGAAAGGAGCCCCAGTGAGATTGGAGATTCAGAACCTGAGGGAATCTAGACTTGCTTCATTTAGGACTTTAGTATTGCAGGGAGGGCTAGACAGTGGGGAAAATAATGTGGTTCAGGGACCGTGAGACAGACTACCATACAGACTTCAACTGTACAGTATGCCATGAGTAAACCTTTCAATGTTGTATGGTTCTACACATTCATTCTTTCATTTTCACAGTCTACTGAGTGACATTCTCAATGGTTGGATGAAAGGTCATCCAGCATGACTTGTAAAACGATGTTCTCAGATATGTGCTTAGTGCTACGGAGTGTAGACTAACAGTAACACATAGTCGCTAAACTGAACATATATTAGAGTAAAAAGTTCCCAAATTATATTCATGAAATATAATTAATAAGAGCCCAGAGACTTTCTTCATTTCAGAAAACTGTAACTGTAGTAATCTAGGCTTGCCACATGCTCATCACGCTGAAGATCCGGGTTCTATTCCTCACATGGGTACAATTTGTGAATACCATTTGCTGTAATATTGCTAAAAGTGATGTAAAATTATACTCACTCACTCATATTTTGTTATCTGTATCAAACCAGCGGTTAACGGTTATCTCTAATTACCCAGGGACAGTGTGGCTGTTTCACACATGGTATTAATTACAGTGTCTAGACTAAGCAATGGAGAAAAGGCTTGTTGTCCAAGTGGCGTTAAACTCAGTTCACTCAGCTCTGACAGACCCGTGAAGATCCAGGATAGAATTAGTCTTCAGTTATGCATGCCTGTAACAAGAGGCGACTAACGGCAGTGTTCACGAATGGTGTTTCAAAGTAACAGGACATTGGGTCCTGTAAGTTTAAGATGTCTGTCTGACCCATTGAAAATTCACAGGACCCATGGAATAAAATTAAACACACATTTCAGATTTAACATTTCTTATAATTGGCATTGAAATTATTAACAAACATAAGAAAAATTAAGATAAAATAAACAGCAAACAAGTGTCACATGTCACATATAACAACTTCAGTCAAAGTCATTGTGAAATATACAGTCGGACACTGGGGCCGGTGGGCTGTAGACTTCTATCAGACCGTTGGCGAATCTGCCGGATTTGTCAGAGGGTCAGACACTATTCGTGAACACTGTAACGGAATCGAGAGGTCAGGCTCGCTGACTTGGCTGACACATGTCATCATGTCTCAATTGCGTAGATCAATGCTCATGCTGTTGATTACTGGATTGTCTGGTCCAGACTCGATTATTTACAGACCACCACCATATAGATGGAATATTGCTGGTGCTAAAGAACCAACCAACTGCTCTGTCACTGTTGTACATCACTTCTTATAACTTGAAACTCCTCATATCCCCAAATGGAAAACCAAGACATGTCATATTTCGTATTCTTGTGTACTTTATCAAATTAATTTCAGAATATAGGAACAAAATAGAGCAATATAATAGCCTTGTCATTATCAACGAAAACAGGTTCATTAATTGTTGAAATCTGTGATTGTTTAAGAACGACAAAAAACAAGGTAGGGCAGGTCAGGTATTCATTCACCACTGAGCAGTTAACTGGCAAACATTTAATTTTAGAGGTTTAGATTATCTGAACTAAGGGCCCAGTAGCATTGCATCAACAATGAATTTACTGTGTATTTGAGATAATTTGTGTGTCAAATACGCAGGTTTTCTGCATCATGGCAAACACTGAGTAAGTGAATGAGTGTGGTTTTATGCCACTTTTAGCACTATTCCAGCAATATCAAGGCGGAGCACACCAGTAATGGGCTCCACATAAGGGTGTGTTCAAGCAAGATGTTCTTCTGTTCTTGGGGGAAACGGCACAGGAAGTTGCAATGATATTTCAGGAGAATGAGGGCTGAGGCTAGTGTTGAGCAAGAGTGTTCAAGCAAGATGTTCTTCTGTTCTTGGGGGACACAGCACAGGAAGTTGCCATGACATTTCAAGAGAATGAGGGCTGAGGCTAGTGTTGAGCAAGAGTGTTCAAGCAAGATGTTCTTCCGTTCTTGGGGGACACAGCACAGGAAGTTGCCATGACATTTCAGGAGAATGAGGGCTGAGGCTAGTGTGGAGCAAGAGTGTTCAAGCAAGATGATCTTCCGTTCTTGGGGGACACAGCACAGGAAGTTGCCATGACATTTCAGGAGAATGAGGGCTGAGGCTAGTGGGGAGCAAAAGTGTTCAAGCAAGGTGTTATTCTGTTCTTGGGGGACACAGCACAGGAAGTTGCCATGACATTTCAGGAGAATGAGGGCTGAGGCTAGTGTTGAGCAAGAGTGTTCAAGCAAGATGTTCTTCTGTCCATGTTCACAGCACAGGAAGTTGCCATTACATTTCAGGAGAATGAGCCATGTAATTCGTACAAGTCATTAAAAGAATAGAATAATATGTTAATGCTAAAAAATACATTCTTTGGTGTATTTCATTCAGATTGGAAAGAAGTCCCAGTTTCGGGAGAGGCTGCAGGAATACCTGGCTCAGGTGTCCGACGATGAGGATGCTGGTAAACTTGACTCCTTCAACTCTCCTGCGCGGAATCATCACTTGGCTCGGATGATTGGTCAACTTTCACAGAGACTGAGGCTGAAATGACGGGCATCACGGATCCCACTGACAGTGATCATGAGGATGTTGCCATGGAAACAGAGCCAGAAGTTAAACAGAGGTATGTTTGATACATTGTCTTTTGTTACTTATTTAAAACAGAAATAATTCATATTCTTGACTGGGGCTGTGTATTGGCATATAAATTATGTTGCAGTATATTGCAATTCAGGTACCCATATTGCGATACGTATTATGTTATATTGGGAACTTAAGTGTTTGACAGTGAGTGACACTAATTGTGCATGTCAACCCTATTTTCTACATTATAAGTCCCTAAACACTTCATATCTGATCATATGCTTTCTACCTAGTATATCGGTTCTCAGAAAAAAATATTGCAATACATATTGTTTGCAAAGGGTATTGTGATATACCGGTATCCCGGTAATACCATGTAGTCCTATTCTTGACTCTACGTAGAAATACTTGATATTGAGAAGAAACCATCTAAACGAGATATGAGTTCTGTTTGGACAGCAGACAGAAATCTAATTCTAGTATAGAGTTATGTCCCTTGATCCCTAGGAATCTCAAGTAGAATGGAGAGTTGAGATCAAAGACCTGCATACATGGCACCTATTATTTTATGAACTACTGGTAATAAATATTACAGTGGAAGCCCTCTAAACCGGAATTGGTTGGCACCGGCAAAAAAATGGCAGTATAGAGGGCATGCCCGTTTAGATATTTTTCCCATATCAACCTGAGAATGATCTTCCGTGTGCAGTAAAATACCACTGAACAATGTGTTGATAGTCATCATATTCTTGATCTTGACATGGTGAGCGACTGACAAATTGCACGACATGACAATTAATTTACAATACAAGAGACATGTGTTACTCACCAATTTACCTCACCTACTTAGGCCTAATCCTTATCCATACTCTTGGCAACATCAATAAGCTTAATGCAGATGGTAATCCAGTGTATTGTTAATGCACGTTCAGCCAATCAGCCAATCAACAGGAGAGCCGAGATACCGGATGCCAGTTTAGAGTGCGTTAATTACTGTACAAACAGTCATTTGGGCGGTCTTTGTTGTGCCGAAATATGGAACAGACTGACGCCGGATTAGAGTGCATGTAAATGATAATAAATTAACTATCTACTGCCGGGACCAAATTCTAGTGCCGATATTGAGAGCATGCCGGATTGGAGGGCTGCCGATTTTGAGAGCTTACACTGTATATGTTACTCAAACGGATTTAACAAACACCAGAATCTTTTATATTGCAATAGTTAAATTTTCATGCTATAATTAATCTTTTATGAATAGAATGAAAGAATTGATGTTAACTTCTTTTCAGCCTTTATCTGCTTATAATTGTTACAAGGGACTTCTGAACACATGAACGTACCAGAAGTTTTGACCATGTGCAACATAACCGCTGTATATTATCATGGTTTCTGAGGTCAATTCATCATTTACAGTCAAGTCCCATTTATTCGACCTCCGTTTATACGACATTCTTCACTCGACACGCCGAAGACCCGGGTTCGATTCCCCACATGGGTACATGTGTGAAGCCCATTTCTGGTGTCCCCCGCCGTGATGTTGCTGGAATATTGCTAAAAGCGGCGTAAAACCAAACTGGCTCGTTATACGACATTCGGCTTTATTCGAGGCTTTGGTCGGTAACAAATTGAATCAACACAATTTTGTCTTGTTAATCTGGTAGTCCAACGTTCAGACTCCGACAGGCTCAATTAATAACTGACTGTCGTAATCACACAGTAATTAGTCCCGTTGATCAAAGATTGAAATTAGCAATAAAAGGACCTGAAAATCTGAATTAATTATCGTTTTATCTTTAGTTTTATTTACACACACACTTAACGTGAATCACGATTGTCCTGTTTTGGACCATGAACGTGATCTATACTCAGAATGCAATAATCCGACATTCTTGTTAATCCGACTATTTGCTGTGCAACTGATTATGTCGGATAAACAAGACTTGACTGTATGTGTGAGGAAGTGAGACCTAAGAAACTAATCTTTTAGAGTTTTTGTTTGTTTTCATGTCAAAGACAATGAGTATTGTCTCGCCAGTCAGCTTCCCTTTTGACTCCTTATTGACAGTTCAGTGTGCTCTCACGTCAGTATTTGCAGAGGCTTGAGATGAAAATATGTTTCTATAACTCAGTATATTTTGAGCCGATTTGTGTATGATACATATGAACCAGGGCCTAGGTTTTCGAAGCTGTCTTAGAGCTAAGATAGTTGTAAGTTAATGTTAATGTATGGCACTTACGACTATCTTAGCTCTAAGAGAGCTTCGAAAATCTAGGCCCTGGACATTGGTCGAACAAAGGACAAATATATCTCAGAATACAATATTTAGTTGTGATGTTGCTTCACCATCTGTTCAGACAACGAGAGCCAATAGAAGAGAAGCTGAGATACTATTTCTTTATATACACATGTATGTTTTCAACTGTTCATATAATTTCTGTCTTGTGCTTCTACAGCCCTGAGAAAGAGAACCCTCCTAAGAAGCAAGAACCACCAGCTGTTAAACAGACATCAGAGAAAACAGCACTGAAGAAAAAGAAATGGGGTAGGTATTATTTCTTCAACAGTTTTTTCTCTAAATCTTCATTGTGGGAGAAGGTGAAGGGATGTATATGGGCATAGTGATGGGGAGTACAAAAAGGACAGTCCTTTGGGTGTACTTGGGGTCTGTTGTGGTGGGATGTGCTGGGGCCCTGTGGTAGGGTGTGCTGGGGCCCTGTGGTGGGATGTGCTGGGGCCCTGTGGTGGGATGTGCTGGGGCCCTGTGGTGGGGTGTGCTGGGGCCCTGTGGTGGGATGTGCTGGCCTTGTAGTTGGGTGTGCTGGGGCCCTGTGGTACGGTGTGCTGGGGCCCTGTGGTGGGTGTGCCGGGGCCCTGTGGTTGGGTGTGCTGGGGCCCTGTGGTGTGTGCTGGGGCTGGGGGCCCTGTGGTTGGGTGTGCTGGGGCCCTGTGGTGGGGTGTGCTGGGGCCTTGTGGTGTGTGCTGGTGCCTGCTGGGGATGGGTGTGTGCTGGTGCCCTGTGTGGTGTGCTGGTGCCCTGTGGTGTGGTGTGCTGGTGCCCTGTGCTGTGGTGTGCTGGTGCCCCATGTGTGGTGTGCTGGTGCCCTGTGTGTGGTGTGCTGGTGCCCCTGTGTGGCCCTGTGCTGGGTGCCCCTGGGGCCCTGTGGGTGTGCTGGGGCCCTGTGGTGTGCTGGGGCCCTGTGGTGAGGTGTGCTGGGGCCCTGTGGTGAGGTGTGCTGGGGCCCTGTGGTGTGCTGGTGTGCTGGGGCCCTGCCCTGTGGTGGTGTGCTGCTGGGGCCCTGTGGTGTGGTGTGCTGGTGCCCTGTGTGTGGTGTGCTGGGGCCCTGGTGTGTGTGGTGTGCTGGGTGCCCTGTGTGTGGTGTGCTGGGTGCCCTGTGGTGTGTGTGCTGGTGCCCTGTGGTGGTGTGCTGGGGGCCCTGTAGTGTGGTGTGCTGGGGCCCTGTGTGTGGTGTGCTGGGGCCCCTGGGGCCCTGTGGTGGTGCATGCTGCCCTGGGTGCTGGGGCCCTGTGGTATGGTGGCTGGTGCTGGTGGTGTCCTGGGGCCCCTGTGTGAGGTATGCTGGTGCCCTGCGGTGTGGTGTGCTGGGGCCCTGTGGTGGTATGCTGGTGCCCTGTTCTGAGGTGTGCTTGGGGCTCTGTGGTGAGGTGTGATAGAGCTCAGTAGTGGGGTGCACTCTGCCAAGTAGTGTGTGTTTACTTGTCAGCACCAATGCTCATGGGTTTAACCAAAGTGGTAAATCTCTGAGACCTGCTGTTCAAGGCAGCCTTAAATCCTAACTATTCACTCACTCACTTTATCACCACCGTCTTACATCCTAACCCAATTCCACTGTATCTCATGACAAGATCTATATTTAGAAACTGCCCTGGGACTCTAATAGTCTAACACACTACTCTGTTATTGACAGATGTTCAAGATCCTATTCACAGTTTGAGGAAGAAATGGAAGAGTTCGTTTTGTTTCATCTCGGGAGTATCCAGACCACAGCGACATTGTCAACGACCTCGTAGTGGATGGAAGAATCCTTGTAACAGCAAGGTTAGACTTACAACTAGTCTCTGAAATGAACATATCTTACTGAAAAAAGTTCATAGTAAAAAAAATATATATATAATGAAAAGGAGCCCTGAGACTTTCTTCATTTTCAGAAGCTGAGGAAATCTAGACTTGCCACATTTTCTAGACTTGCATGGGCTTTCTTGAATATATTTGCTTCAGGGTCTGTACGAAAGACTACAGCAAGGTCAGAAATGTCTTGTACAGAGCTCCGTGTGAGCCGAGTATCATTTAATTGACTTCTTTATTCGTTGTAATGATATTCAGGGTTCCTTCATGACTCTCATCTTTTGTGGTTCACCTTATGACTGACTGAGTATGGTTTTACGCCCATTTTAGCAATATTCCAGCAACATCACGGCGGGGGACACCAGAAATGGGCTTCACACATTGTACCCATGTGGGGAATCGAACATAGGTCTTCGGCGTGACGAGCGAACGCTTTAACCACTAGGCTACCCCACCGCCCTTCACCTAATGAAGAGGCATGAAGTTGACCTTAAACGTCATTAGGAACTTTTAGTTTAGTTTCGTTATCAGGAAGAAGAAAGAATTTCTGGTAATAAGGTTTCATGTCTTCATGTTCCTCCAACTTCTAAAGCCAGTAGGACAAAATTAAACTTTTTTATTACAGGATTTGTTCTTATAGAAGTCTTACATTATCAGGGACGGTGGGGTAGCCTAGTGGTCAAAGCGTTCGCTCGTCACGTCGATTCCCCATATGGGTACAATGTATGAGGCCCATTTCTGGTGTCCCCTGCTGTGATATTGCTGGAATATTGCTAAAAGTGGCGTAAAACTAAACTCACTTACTTACATTATCAATTCACATGATTTAATTCAGTTTTATCACTCCTTGATAAAACCTGTGTACTATTAGTCTATATAGTGCTCTGACAATGTCAATGTCAAGATCAAGGCCAGTTTGTTGCATTGGATATCTTGAAAGATATGTGACATTATCAGAATTTTATTTGCTTCAGTCGAGACACGACTTTGAAAGTATGGGATCTTGAGGAAGGGAGACAACTCAGAAACCTTGGAGGACATACTGGCAGCGTGACAACTGTGTTTCTGTTGTCAGAACAAGCTTCACAAAAATCCGGTCTGTCTAAAAGTCTTATCTACGTTATCTATTGATATTGTTATTATCTGTCTATACTCACTCCTGGTTTATCACTAGCATACCCAGGCTGTATCTGACCTTTATAGCACAAATGGATGGAATTATCATGAAACCGCCCTCTAGTTATCAGAAATGAGCGGGACGCTGCAAATGATAATGGCCCACTGATTCCTTAACGACGGGCCATTATCAGTTCTGATGTCAAATGACGTCACAGCATAATGTCATAAATCTTGTTTCATGACCTAACAGTGTTGGGTCAAGAGCCCGTTGAGAGTTGTTTGAAGGAAACTTAAATTTATGATACTGTTTTGTCTTGTTTTAACACAAATTCCTTCCATTTAAGCTATGATAGGGGTACCGCTGTTTTTAAGGGCATTATCATTTGCAGAAGCCCACGGTCTTTTCAACTGCACTCCCTTGTCGGGCAGTTAATTGAAGACCTAGGGCTTCTATAAATGATAATGCCCTGAAAACAGAGTTACCACTATAGCCAGTGTATGAAATAAGCCCCAAATCCAGCCAGACATCAGGGCTGGCTACTTCAAAATGTTACCAGCCATAAATGGATTAAACCAGACCAAATATGGTGAATTTACTCAGATGTATGGAACGTCTAAAAAAATATTAGCAGACCATCGGGCTGGCTAGTTGTAAATTTAGACCGTCCATCAGAAATGTAGACCGTCTCGGGCGGTCGGACAGGCCTTATTTCATATACTGCTATAGCATTGATTAAGATTTTCCTCCCATATAAGTATATGTGAATAAGCAGCATTAACCTCATCAGCCCCGAGACGTTATCAGTGCATGGACACTTCAGTCATTCATTTCATCCCTCATGTTTGAGGCATGTGAAATGTTCTTGATAATCATCGATGAATAATGTATATAAAAATATATACATAGCCATTTGAACTCTAGAAGACAGGATGTCATTCTAAAACTAATGCTGAATGTTGTTATTCCCATACTCAAACACGGTGCGGAGGGGTAGTCTGGTGTTTAAAGCGTTCGCTCGTCATGCCAAGGACCCGGGTTCCATGCACCAGATGGGTATAATGTGTGAAGTCCCTAGCCTAAAAGCTGTAGAAAATCGCTACAGTTACCTCTCTCTCTCTCTCTCTCTCTCTCTCTCTCTCTCTCTCTCTCTCTCTCTCTCTCTCTCTCTCTCTCTCTCTCTCTCTCTCTCTCTCACTCTGTCACTCACATAATCAGTGAATAAAACCGTAAACATTCATGTATTCAATTAGTTATACATGTTTACTAGAATCTTATATATTTAATTTGACAGTAAAGTGGTCACATGTCATTGTCATGATAAATCAACACTGTCAACATGGTCAAATCATATCAAGGTAAAATAGAGATTATTACATGAGCAAGTGTGCCATACGACTTATACGAAACGAGTGTGAAATTTTGTGAAAATGCATAATTTTCATATATGTCATATGATACACTTGCTCAAGTGTTACAATTTCTCTATTATCCATTTTATTCATGTAAATTTGTGCAGTAAAACGCGGAAAGCAAGTGTGACAGCCCTCTTGATTGACGTCAGGTTCAATTGTTTATGGACATCACAGACAACGAAATACAGAAACATGGTTGCTAGGCAAAGGTTGTATGTGCACATGTGCACATAATATATATATAATTATAACACTGGCTATGTCTCACCATATAGTAATAAATTATGTTATTGCTTCACTGAATATAATGAATGATCCTTCAGCTGATGACTTGTTATTATATATATATAATGTTAATGTTATTGTATTCATTAGCAACTATTCGTATTTGTTACTTAATATTCATGCTAGGAATCACATAGTGGATTTGTTGCTGTCACAGCTAAACTCAGCTTGGATGCAGCGTAGTGTTTGAGGGTGGGAACACATGCTGACTAGTAATGTAACATGCAGAGTTATCTCCCCTAGATGTTCCTGAATTTAGTGACTTTTTGTATGACTATCAATTTATGTTTCATTCTGGGTTCATCATAATGGGGCGGTGGGGTAGCCTAGTGGTTAAAGCATTCGCTCATCATGCCGAAAGACCCGGGTTTGATTCCCTACATGGGAACAATGTGGGAAGCCCATATCTGGTGTCCCCCCTGCCAGGATATTGCTGGAATATTGCTGAAAGCGGCGTAAACCCATACTCACTCACACTCACTCATCAGAGTGATAAATGGCTAAGACGTGCCAGATGTTTGGCTATCCATTAGCCAGACAGTATTAATAAAATACTTTTGAAATATTAATTAAATACTTTTGAAATAAGTGTCAAGTCAACTCAATACTCTTGCTGAACTACTAGTGACGTAGCTGAATCTCTTGTAGGTTATTTGGCTGGCAAGCCACCTCACCACCGTCTTGTCATCAGTGGATCAACAGACTGCTCCTTTAAGATCTGGAACATTGCAACCGGTATGTAGCCTTTTTCATGGAACTTCTCCTTACAGATATGAGACTTTGCAACGGGTATGTAGCCTTCTTCTGTGAACTGTGCCTTTAACTTAATTTAAGATCTAGGACATCACATCAGGCATGTAGCCTTTCTTAGGGAACTACTCCTTTAAGATATGGGACATTGTAACATTTCAACAGATATGTAGCCATCCAGCTTGAGCTTGCCATGAATAGCTGCAAAATGGTTGACGTGGGGTTAAGCAATACTCATTCACTCCTCGGCCTGGGTCAGATTCCCCAGATATGTACATATGTTAAACCTCGCTCACTCACACTCAACTCACTCAACCTCAACTCAACTCACTCACTCACTCACTCACTCACTCACTCACTCACTCACTCACTCAGATCTACTCATTCAATCAGTCATTCAATCAACCAACTCAACTGCTGAAGTGAATTGAATTGAAAACAGTTATGCTTCCTAAAGACACTTTGGAAACAATCAGGCTTTCTGAAGGAGTTATGCGACCTAAAGACCAACCTACCGACCGACCAACCTACCGACCCTCATGCTAATCTTGAAGGAGATAAACCATGTCAGTTTAAGGTTTGAGGTAGTTGATTAAAAACCAAAAAATGTTATTTGAAGTTAAATCTAATAGCCAAACATTTTCAGTTCATTTTTCAACAGTCCCTACATAGTGTTCAAATCTATGTTATTTTTAGAACTGTCTCATTTTCATGCTGGTGCTCATGTTGGTTGCAATGGCAGTGGCAAACATGATCTTACAGGGGTGGAAATAACCCATTGCCCGACGTCCGAGTCCAGTGTTTTTTCTGTCGGGCAAGCAAATTTGTATATCACACTGTACTGTGTCCAGTTGACTTACCAATGTTAATTATGTTGTTTATTTAGAAAATCAGCAAGAAAACGGTCGGTACAGTGGAAACATTATCAGGGCAAGTGACTTTACATGTGCCACTGTCCCGAGTACACTATCAATTTTAAAGTTATTTCCACCCCTGTCTTACAGCTGGAATAGTAATAGTAATTGTCCAGCTTATATGCCGCTCATATCCAGGCACATTGCCTGCTCATGGCGCTATGTACATTTCCATCCCCATTCATAGAACATGGTACTTTCTGATACTTTCTCTACTCCATGGGATCGACTTATCCATCAACAATATCCTCCTTCTAAAACCTATTCCATGTGGGACTATTGTCTGGAACAACTAGATCTATTTATAGCTCTGCTCATCCCTCCCATGTGCCTCAGCTCTGCAGTCTGATGATGAAGACAAGATGAGATCAGTCAGAGGAATGTAGAACCCACTGCTACTCACCACAAGACAAATACCTGCCCCTGATCTGATCTCAGTCAATCTATTCCTTGTTTATCCTGGCATTCATGAGTGTTAGTAGAGGCAACATGTATGACTGTTCCTGTGTGATACAGGAAGTCCTAATTCAATGCACCTACATATAGTGGATGTGTTGCAGCCCTACTATCTACACGAAATCCCACCTAGACCCAGCTTGAATGCTGGTAGTGTTTAAGGTGGCTACACCTCTTTTAACTGTCTGGAAATATAGGGTTTTCTGGGGTGCCAGAGGTTTTCGACAAATTTGAATCACAAACTCCCTAAATTTTTACTTGGGGTATGACAGACATATGCTTTTAAATTTGTGCTTAATTTCTCATAGTACTTATATTTTTATGGAGTGAATTAAAACCTTTAAACTAAATATGTAATTAAACATTTAAATTAAATTTAAAATTCATGTCTACTTTCAAATTAATTGTGACAAAAGCTTTCAACAAAATATTAATTAAAGCAATTAAATTTAAATTGAATGTCTACTTACAAATTATTTGTGATAAATTTAAAAAAATAAAAAGATGCCACAACTAAATTAGAGGTAATTATAATACTTTTGAGTGAGAAATTAAGCATGCAAGTTTAGGGGTAAATATGGAAACCCCTAAAGATAGAAGATACTATCTCCAGACTCCAAGACTTCAAAGACTGTATCATATGATAGAACCCCACTTAGGGTCACAGCAAAAGATAACAGATGCAATTTTATAACTATCATATGGGCAGAAGTGACATGAAAAACTGACACAGTCCTATTCTTTTCAAATAAATTCCTTTCATAAATATGACTTTTAAATAAATTTCTTTAAAGAGAATAATCCAAAGAAGAATTTGTTATCAGAATAGGTTGTCAGTAACTTATGCTTGGCCTACGACATTTGAGAGATCGGGTTTCAGTTAGTCAGGGTTTGCACCTACAAGGCCTCAACCATCGGCAACCCAGTTACTACTCGTGATCAATCCATTATTACAAAAAAGTACTTTGGGGGAATTATCTCAGATTCTAATAAGTGCCTTTAACCATAAGGAAAAAATTCATACTTTTCCAACTGGTATTTTGTTGTAAAATATCTTAGTTTCCCCATTTCTAGGGTATTAAAACATTACAAGAATGTAAACATATGCATTGAAGCCTCTCCTTCTTTACTAGTCCTGCCATCAGATATTTTTAGTAAGAAAATTAGTTTTAGCTATATTAAGTTGAAATGGATTTTTTATTCCAGTTAGGAATTTTTCACTGCCATTTACTCCAAACTTGGGTCCCAAAATCAGGTTCTGAAGAGGTTTAGACATACTGCTGTTTTGTTCAGAGATCTTGTAAACCCACACATTTATCTTCTCTGTTTCAGGGGCCATACTCAAGTCGGTCTACACATACAATCCCATCACTCGACTGGTCTGCAATCAGAAGGGTCTCATTGTGACTGGAACAGGTACAGTTACCTCCCTTGGTTTCATTTTGAGCTTGTCCTTCCACCACTTTCAAAGCCAACATGCCCGACACCTGGTTTGGCTTGTTGTGTTAAAATTGTTATGACAGCCTGAAGCCTATCCCCAGATTACAGAAAAGAATTTGCAGTAAATTTCATGATTTGTTGCTGATAAATTATGATTATGGTAACAGTATGAGAGTGAGTGAGTGAGTGAGTTTAGCTTTACGCCGCACTCAGCGATATTCCAGCTATATGGCGGCGGTCTGTAAATAATCGAGTCTGGACCAGACAATCCAGTGATCAACAGCGTGAGCATCGATCTGCGCAATTGGGAACCAAGTCAGCCACCACCCGATCCCGTTAGTCACCTCTTACGACAAGCATGGGTTACTGAAGATCAATATTGTAACCTGGACCTTCACGGGTACAACAGTACGAGAAATGAAGCATTGATGTTGGTTAGGAATCATATATCAACTTATCAACTTATACGAAACGAGTGTGAAATTTTGTCGTATGACACACTTGCTCGAATGTAAAAATTTCTTTATTATCCATTTTGTTCATGTACATTTGTGCAGTAAAACATGGTAAGCAAGTGTTAATTGACATCACGTTCCATTGTTTAATGGGGGCGGTGGGGTAGTCTAGTGGTTAAAGCGTCTTGTCACGCTGAAGACCTGGGTTCGAATCCCCACATGGGTACATTGTGTGAAGCCCATTTCTGGTGTCCCCCGCCGTGATGTTGCTGGAATATTGCTAAAAGCGGCGTAGAACCAAACTCACTCACTCACTCACCCATTGTTTAATGATGTCACAGACGATAGTGCTACGGTGATTGTAACTATCTGATCTTAACACAGATTAACAAGATTTTTTTGTTGTCCATGGTACACATTAGAGAGTTAGTTTTGTCCAGGAGGTTGGTGTACAAAACGGTTTTAGTGCTAAGGTGATTGTAACTATCACACCTAAACATAGATTTGCGACAGTCATAGAACTACAATCCCTTTGTGCAATCGTGCTGTTGATTCATTCCACAAAGCAAATCTTAGTTCTAAGGTGATCACCCATGAAGGTCCGGGTTAGAATGAACCTTCAGTAACGCATGCTTGTCGTAAGAGGCGACTAACAGGATCGGGTGGTCAGGCTCACTGGCATCATTGGTTCCCAATTGCACAGATCTATGCTCATGCTGTTGATCACTGGATTGTCTGGTCCAGACTTGATTATTTACAGCCAACCGCCATATAGCTGGAATATTGCTGAGTGTGGCGTAAAACTAAACTCACTCACTCACTCTAAGGTGAATCATAACCCCCATACCTTAACACAAAGCTACAATGGCCATACCACCAAGGTAGTTTTGTACAATGGCACCCAGGAATTCGAGATTAATTTATATCACTATTTGTTTCGTAAAATACAATTAGTAAAGATGTTGACATGTCTGTTTCAGATGGCGGTAAGATGGAAATATGGGACATGGAGACTGGCGAGAATCTCCACTCGGTCATCGCCTGCGAGGGAGCTGTCACAGCCATGAAGGTTAGTGTCGTTGATGATTGACTGGCACTCAATTACTGACACTCTGTCTCATGTGCCCAAAACTCTCAAAGTAAATTTCAAACTTACCAGGATTTTAAACGTCGAATTTTGTGATTTTAATTATGTCTAAATTTGACTACAAAAGCCGGCTGCTGAAGGGATGATGTAAATCCAACTACTGTCCATGTAGGTACCAATGGTACTGTAAGTCCCCATGGTCCTTAGTATGGTGATCAACCTTCAGTTGCTGGTGATCTATAGCCCGTTCTTATATTGTACTGTTGTCTCTCGTGATATTTTTTATGATAGTGTACTAGTTTTAAATTAAGAGCTGTGATATTTTAGTAGTTTTACTGTCCTTCGATGACAGGTTTTACGTTATATAGTTATTGATTTGAATATTGATATCAACTGTTCTCGTCACGATATGGCTGCAATATTGCCGATGTGGCGTTAAGTTTTAACTCACTCACTCTGTGTCATGTGACGATTCAATTTAGAAATGGTCTGACCAGTCAATGCTGGTGATAAGAGGCAATTGATTCGGAGGCCAGGTTGAGTGACAAATTAGAAAGATCTGGGTTAGAATTGGTCTTCAGTAACCCATGCTTGTTGTAAGAGGCGACTAACGGGATCAGGTGGTCAGACTCGCTGACTTGGTTGACACATGTCATCGTACCGCAATTGCATAAAATGATACTTGGGATGTTGAACACTGGGTTGTCTGGTCCAGACTTGATTATTTACAGACCGCTGCCATATAGCTGGAATATTGCTGAGTCATCAATCAATCAATCATTGTACTTCAACAGGGTAATATGATTGGCCAGATACTGTTTTCTGTTAACCTATACATGTTGTGGATACTACCCCAGTAAAGGTCAAGGTTAGAGACCCGTGAAGATCCGGGGTAGAATAGGTCTTCAACAACCCATGCTTGCCACAAAAGGCGACTATGCTTGTCGTAAGAGGCGACTAACGGGATCGGGTGGTCAGGCTCGCTGACTTGGTTGACACATGTCATCGGTTCCCAATTGCACAGTACGATGCTGTTGATCACTGGATTGTCTGGTCCAGACTCGATTATTTACAGACTGTCGCCGTATAGCTGGAACATTGAACAGCAAACAAGCAAAACAAGGTAACCACAAACCAAAACCTTAGTGACGTCTTCCATTGGTTGTGTTTCAGTTCGCAGACAACCAAATCTACAGCACATCGTCCACCGGTGTGTTGAAAGTGTTCCAGATCAGAGATAACTGCCTGGCATGTATGTACGAGTCGGAGAACCTGCGATCTGTGTCGGGTCTCTGGTGACCCCGAGGTTCATCCGATCTCTGGCAGTGTTCAAACATATGATCTTCTATGGGGATGATGCCATCAACATCAAGCTCCTGGAATGGAAGAGAGGTAAGGGTGGTGAGCTCCACTGGATATATTGGCATAATAGATGGTAGTGGTTCAGTAGATGGTAGTAGCATATGAAATGGCATAATAGGTTGTAGTGGTATAATCCATGGTAGTGGCATATCATTTTCTATAAAAGATGGTAGTGGCATAATAGATGGTAGTGACATAATAATAGATGATAGTGGCATAATAATAGATGATAGTGGCATAATAGATGGTAGTGGCATAATAATAGATGATAGTGGCATAATAATAGATGATAGTGGCATAATAGATGATAGTGGCATAATAATAGATGATAGTGGCATAATAGATGGTAATGGCATAATAATAGATGATAGTGGCATAATAATAGATGATAGTGGCATAATAGATGATAGTGGCATAATAATAGATGATAGTGGCATAATAATAGATAGTGGCATAATAGATGATAAAAGATAGTGGCATAATAATAGATGATAGTGGCATAATAGATGGTAGTGGCATAATAATAGATGATAATGGCATAATAATAGATGATAGTGGCATAATAATAGATGATAGTGGCATAATAATAGATGATAGTGGCATAATAATAGATGATAGTGGCATAATAATAGATGATAGTGGCATAATAATAGATGATAGTGGCATAATAATAGATGATAGTGGCATAATAGATGATAGTGGCATAATAATAGATGATAGTGGCATAATAATAGATGGTAATGGCATAATAATAGATGGTAGTGGCATAATAGATGATAGTGGCAGAATAATAGATGGTAGTGGCAGAATAATAGACGGTAGTGGCATAATAATAGATGTAGTGGCATAATAGATTATAGTGGCATAATAGATGATGGTGGCATAATAGATGGCATAATAGGTTGTAGTGGTATAATCGATGGTAGTGGCATGTCATTTTCTATAAAAGATGGTAGTGGCATAATAGATGGTAGTGTCATTATAATAGATGTAGTGGCATAATAGATAGATGGTATAATAATAGATGGATAGTGGCATAATAATAGATGGTAGTAGCATAATAGATGGATAGATGGTAGTGGCATAATAATAGATCAGATAGTGGCATGCATAGATGGTAATAATAATAGATGATAGTGGCATAATAGATGATAGTGGCATAATAATAGATGATAGTGGCATAATAGATGGTAGTGGCATAATAATAGATGGTAGTGGCATAATAGATTATAGTGGCAGAATAATAGATGGTAGTGGCATAATAATAGATGGTAGTGGCATAATAATAGATGGTAGTGGCATAATAGATTATAGTGGCAGAATAATAGATGGTAGTGGCAGAATAATAGACGGTAGTGGCATAATAATAGATGTAGTGGCATAATAGATTATAGTGGCATAATAATAGATGATGGTGGCATAATAGATGGCATAATAGGTTGTAGTGGTATAATCGATGGTAGTGGCATGTCATTTTCTATAAAAGATGGTAGTGGCATAATAGATGGTAGTGTCATTATAATAGATGTAGTGGCATAATAGATAGTTGTGGTATAATAATAGATGGTAGTGGCATAATAATAGATGGTAGTGGTATAATAATAGATGGTAGTGGCAGAATAATAGATGGTAGTGGCAGAATAATAGATGATAGTGTCATAATAGATGGTAGTGGTATAATTATAGATGATAGTGGCAGAGTAGATGGTAGTGGTATAATAATAGATAGTAGAGGCATAATAATAGATGATAGTGGCATAATAGATGGTAGTGGTATAGTAATAGATGGTAATGGCATAATAATAGATGGTAGTGGCATAATAGATTATAGTGGCATAATAATAGATGGTAGTGGCATAATAGATGATAGTGGCATAATAATAGATGGTAGTGGCATAATAGATGATAGTGGCATAATAATAGATGGTAGTGGCATAATAGATGGTAGTGGCATAATAGACGGTAGTGGCATAATAGATGGTAGTGGCATACTAGATGGTAGTGGCATAATAGATGGTAGTGGCATAATAATAGATGGTAGTGGCATAATAGATTATTGTGACATAATAATAGATGGTAGTGGCATAATAATAGATGGTAATGGCATAATAATAGACGGTAGTGGCATAATAATAGATGATAGTGGCATAATAGATGATAGTGGCATAATAGATGGTAGTGGCATAATAGATGGTAGTGGCAATATGTAAATCTGAACAAATGTTTGACTAAGGCTGGTTTTCTTTGGATATAGAGTATAGACATGTCGTATAACTGTATTCTCTGGTCACACACTCAGTTTTTGTCTAGAATTCTAGAATTCAACGTTTTTGCTATATTTTGGCAGGGCTGGGTTTATCATCAACTATGACAGTATGGACAACATGCATGTTTCAGGTATAGTGAAGAAGTTACCAAACCACACAGATGAGTTTGCATCCACTGACGCCATCTGCTCGTTTGAGGACCTCCTCATCGCTTCCAGCTACGACCTCGACAATGGCCTCGGCTACATCAATAGTAAGTCACATGGAGAAACAGCTGTCTCGTTAAACAAGATGGCTGTATTGCTTTACTTGAAGTGTAAGGTCCACTGTGACATATGACCCTCTATAATCGTTGCTGGTAGGTACAAGCAAGTTAGTATACCTTGAAGTACATGCTCATTATGTCAATCACTGGTTTGTTTTGTCTAGATTCCATTATGGTCAGGCTGCCATCAGCATTAATTTGCAGAGTGTGGCTTTGGACATCAATCACTGGTTTGTCTCATCTAGACTCCCATTATGTACAGGCTGCCATCAGCATTAATTTGCAGAGTGTGGCTTTGGACATCAACACTGGTTTGTCTCGACTAGACTCCATTATGTACAGGCTGCCATCAGGATTAATTTGCAGAGTGTGGCTTTGGACATCAATCACTAGTTTGTCTCGTCTAGACACCATTATGTTCAGGCTGCTATCAGCATTAATTTGCAGAGTGTGGCTTTGGACATCAATCACTAGTTTGTCTCGTCTAGACTCCATTATGTACAGGCTGCCATCAGCATTAATTTGCAGAGTGTGGCTTTGGTCAGCAAACAAACAAACAAACAAACATTGAAGGACATGCTCATAACATCAATTTTTGGCTTGTCTTGTCTAGATTCCATTATGTTACGGCTGCCATCAGCATTAGAGTCCAGAGTGTGTCTTTGGCAGCTAAAAACCAGACATACAAACAAGTTGATGAGGAATGAGTGGATCCTGGATTGCATTTTGTGTTGTTCCAGTTCGTTCACTACCGCACGGAGACTACCTGGCTACTCTTGATGACGAGGACACGGAGAGAATCGTCTGCCTGGGATGTGGGAGAACAAAGTCTGGCAACTTGGTGCTGGTGACGGGTGGTATGCAGCTGAAAGTGTGGGAGATAGACGCTGTACACAGGTGAGCACATAGTTTCGACAAGTTCTGGAAGTTGTTGTTACATTGTTGGAATCTTATTGTGCAGTTATGATTTTTGTTAACCATTTTTATACCCCGGCATGTAATGCGGGGAGATATTGTCGACAGCTCGTCCGTCTGTCCGTCCGTCCGTAATCATTTTGTTTCCGGAGCATAACTCAAAAACTGTTCAATATTTTTCAGCAAAAATTTGCAGATATATCAAACAGAACCTAAAGTGGTGCCTTTTGCTATTTACAGATTTTTGTCATTTTTATTTTTCCCGGTTTCCATGGAAACGATTTGGACTTAGTCTCAAAAGGGAGGGGTGGGCTTCGTTTCCGGAGCACAACTAAAACACTTCTTAATATCTTTCAGCAAAACTTAGCAGATATGTGAGGCAGATCTTGAAGTGGTGCCTTTTGCTATTTACAGATTTTTGGCCTTTTTATTTTACCCGGTTTCCATGGAAACGATTTGGACTTAGTCTAAAAAGACGTCAAGCTGTAACTGTCAAATATGTGGGGGCCGGGGGGAATATGTCATCTTCTGATGACTCTTGTTTGTTGCAGTCTTTGTTTCACATATTTATCCCCATGTTGGGATTGCCGGACACCAGAGGTCCTTCTAGCCATTGCTTGTCAGGATTCGGAGTTAGAAGGCCTCAGCATCCTGTAATGGCAACATTTGATGAGTGTCAGGCTCACTGACTTTTTTCTTTGCTATGATGTTGATCAATAGAGTTCTTGCCTTTATGTTATTGATCAACAGAGTTCTTGCCTTTATGTGTTGATCAATAGAGTTCTTGCCTTTATGTGTTGATCAATAGAGTTCTTGCCTTTATGTGTTGATCAATAGAGTTCTTGCCTTTATGTGTTGATCAATGTTTTCATAATCAGTCTCTTGGTTCTGTGACCCAGATTCGATAATTCATGCCAGCTGCCATTTTGTTGAGTTAGATGTCCAACATAAAAATTTCTTCAACAACCCATGCTTGTCGTAAGAGGGGACTAACGGGACCGGGTGGTCAGGTTCGCTGACTTGGTTGACACATGTCATCGTTTCCTAATTGCAAAGATCAATGCTCATGATGTTGATCACTGGATTGTTTGGTCCAGACTCGATTATTTACAGACCGCCGCCATATAACTGGAATATTGCTGCGTGTGGCGTTAAACAACAAACAAACAAAGTAACAAACACACATACAGTCACAAAAATCGCCAGGCTCATTGTGGATGCTCGGATAGTATGCTTGGTATGTTACTGCCAACTAGTGAGACCATGCTTCTGCCGCCCTTGACTGCAGCTATGACTGTGAGATGTATTATAACTGTCCTGATACATATAGCTTTGACACAGTGGTTTTCAGTGCAGAGTTGCTTCCCTTTGCACAACAGAATTCCACACAAGTCAGTCTGTCTGCTTTCGGTATTTTAACGATTTTTCACTCATTTGTTTTCACTAATAGGATCATAAACCACCAAATTGTGCATACCATACAATATTGTCATATTTATTTTTTGATTTAGCCCAGGCCAGATAATTTGTCATGAACACAGGACACACATTGTGTTGGTTTTGACAGCTATTCAATCATCTCCTGTAACTCCCTCCCCCCATGACACACACACACAACCCCTGTCAGGAACACAATCCCTGTCATGGTAATAATGAAAAACAAAATCTTTAATTTGGGATGCAAATAGTATATATCAACTTTCATCATAAAGGATTAGGGGTGGGTATTGCAGAGAATTTTCATATTGCAATATATTGCGATACGAAAGCATGTATTGCGATATGTATTGCAATATATTGCAAGAAGTTATTTTTTAACAAAAAACTACTTATAGTCGAGTTAATGCTTGATTTATAAAGCAAAAACACAACAAAATCACAATGCTTGATTAGGCTTTACTAAAAACTTTAATCATAACAAAATAAAATTGTAAATAATGTTTGGCACAAATGATACAAGGAAAGGAACAAAAGTTTTTCCGATTGCATGATCGCATAATACGTATCGTTTTCATGTCCGAACCGGTAAATACCGGTAAACCGGTTATATTGCGCAGCCCTATAAAGGATGTCTTCAGGCAAATTGAATTGTGAAAAAGGTGTCAAAAGTAGGGTTAACAGATTACAGTGTCACATAATGTCTCCCCCTTATGGTTACCATTGCGATACATACATGGTTGAGTGACAGCTGATTACTACCTTGCCTGTTTCTAGATGTCTCCCGGTTGGGGGGGGGGGAGTACAATAGTGGTTAAATCTTTTGCTCGTCATGCCCCACATGGTTACTATGTACGAAGCCCATTTCTGGTGTCCCCCGCCATGATATTGCTGAAATAATGCTAAAAGCGGCATAGAACACTCTCTCACTCAACCAATCAACCACTCACTCAACCACTCGTTTCAACCACCCACTCACTCAAACCACTCATTTAACTCACACACTCACTCTCACACACACACACTCACACACACACACACACACACACACACACACACACACACACACACACACACTCACTCACTCACTCACTCACTCACTCACTCACTCTAGCTTGGCCATTGCTTTGGTACTGCCAATGTGTAGTTGTATCAACAAGAAATCAGAGATGTGGACTGATAGCAGGACTTGTTGTTGAATACAGCAAATATCCCACCCCATTAAACCAATGGGATATAGGACAACCAGTGTTTATCTTCAACCTATAAATACCATACACCCTGAGTGTCAGAATGCTTGTCCCAAGTATGTCAAACCTGACTCTGGCTACGTGCGTTCCCTCGTTGACACACTGTGATTCATTGACTTGTTTAGTTATTGCATCCCGATGTCGTGTATGGTGCTGCCATGAATCTGCATATCACTGAATAATGCCTATGAATATTGGGTAACAAATGCAATGACAGTCAGCAGTGAATGAACAAACTAGTGCCTGACTGGTGCTTGACTGGTGCTTGACCTTTGTCCAATATCCAGTACATTTTTATAGCATGTGAGGTATGGCTAAATGGGATTAAATGTCATTGGCACCAAGCTGATCAGTCCTTGTTTTGTCCTCTTAATGCCCAGTGCCATGTTGCGTAATAAAAAGTATGTATTTTTATCATGTTATGGTTAACATAGCCTGGGTTGAGAACCATTCTCCTTCGCTCCTCAGGTAGATGTTATATTCACTAAGACCGATAACTTTGTTAAAAGACTGTTGAATACAAAAATATTCACTGGGTTGTGATTTAGTGATACAAGTGTTTTAAAAGTTCATGGAACGTGGGCCCATTTCCAGTTCCCCTCTGCATGACGTTGCGAGTATATTGCTACTTTGGCGTAGAACTCACTCACTCACTCACTCAGCCACCTGCTAGCTCGCTCACTCACTCGCTATCACTCACTCACCCACGCCCTCTCTCACTAATCACTCACTCACTCACTCGTTTACCTACGCACCTGCTAGCTCAATCGCTCACTCACACCTTATAACTCACTCACTCATTCACTCGCTATCACTCGCTCAACTCGACCGCCTCTGTGGTGTAGTGGTTAGAGCGTCCGCCCGGAGAGCGGAAGGTTGCGGGTTCGATCCCCGACCGCGTCATACCAAAAAACGTTAAAAAATGGTACTTGTTGGTCCCTACCTGGCGTTCGGCATTAATGGGTACAACAAGGACTGGTTGGCCTGGAGTCAGTATAATGTGTCTGAGTGGGGTATTCATGCTTCACTGCGGCATGGTATCTCAGTGGGCTAGCACTTTAAAACCAGCTTAAGTCTGGGCTAGTACAAGCAGCCGCACATACACATACACACGCATGCACGTCGTCATATGAGCGAAATATTCTCAAGCACAACGTAAAACCCAATTCCACCTCACCTCACTCGCTCAACTCACTCATTCACCTACCCACTCACTCTCTCACTGATCACTCACTCACTCATTCACTCACTCATTCACTCACTCACTCACTCACTCACTCACTCACTCACTCACTCACTCACTCACTCACTCACTCACTCCTTACTCACTCAGTGAACCCAACAAGTGTACTCTACATGTAGCCAAGCTGTTTTTCTTCTGATGTAACTGACCATAGGATGACAGTGCAGATTTCTGATCTGTGTACATAGACCAGCTTATAGTCCCCAAAATAGATTCTGTATTCAGTTAAGTGAAATATTTCTGGGGTGGGGCCCTCTAGTTGAAAAGGAATGAAAAAACGCTGATGGAGAAATTGTTCAGAATGGAATGGAGGTTATTGCTTTTCATGCACTGCAAGTTCCAATGTACTTCATTAAAACAGCCAAGGAGCCAAGTGTACTTTACCCTGTCATAAAGTACACACGTTAATGGACCGATGTCATGATGCTAATTAAATTACCACCATGTTTCCATGGTTATACTGTTCTATCATTGCTGTCAATCACGATGACACATCAAAACCATTTGTTGAAATAGTTTCTTTACACTTGTCAATTTTTTGTATAATGACTGAATATAACGTCTTGTTGCCATTTAGAAAGTGGTCAAATGTAACACGTTTTATTTGGGGTTACACTTTCTCAGTTTACTACAGGTTCTAGTACTTTTGATGTATTGAGGCCCATCTGGGATTCGAACCCACACCCTCAGAGTCAGGTGCCTAATCGCCAGCAGACAAAGTCAGCCATCTAACCCACTCAGCCAGCGCATCTGAGTCTGACCATGGTAGTCAAGACCATGGATAGGTGCATATTGGCATGCATCCTACGGACGAAAGCTATGAATACAAAATGCCATTTATAGTTTGTTTGCATTGAAAACATACTGATAAATTTCACTTTAAACAAAGAAGTAAATCAACTAAAGTCAAATTAAGATTGCAAATCCTCATAATTTTATCTTGCCAATTGAACATTTAAATCTCAGAGTATTTTTCAATTTAGGATAAAAGTTGTTTAACAAACGATCATGGATTCAAATCGCGATTATTGGTTTGTATTACAAGGGTGTAT